TCGACTACGCCGCGCTCGGCAACCGCGCCCCCCAGCGCAAGCGCTTCCGCATCGTCGGCATTCTCAACCAGATCGACCGCCGCTCCCGCATCAAGTTCAAGCTCGTCTTCCGCCCCCGGGAGATGATCTACGTCGAAGGCGCCGAGCCCGGCTTCGTGCGTGTCGGCTGGATCTGTCCCACCAGAGACCACTTCCTCATCTTCGTGGGCGAGCGGGAGAGCATCCCGCACCTCTATGCCGCTCTCATGAGACCTCGCCCCGACAACTGTCTCATCACCCACTCCATTCAGAGCGTCCGCATCTTCATTACTGAGTTGTACCGCTACGCCTATGGCAAGGACTTCGAGGCCATCCTTCAGCTGCCCAACCTCAAGCAAGTCGCCATCGACGTTGGCGTCATCCGCATCCTCAGCACCCCCAAAAGAAAGCGCCACCAGCACAACTCGGAACTTCCCCTCGACAGCAGGCTGTTCCCGTCACTTATCGAGTGGGAGCGCAAGTACCGTCAAGAGATGAAGCCTGTATGGGCCAAGCTGCAGCAGAAGGGCATCAAGCTCGTGTGCTACGCGCCTGGTGCCGGCGACGTGGAGCTTCTCGAGCTCATTCGAAAGAACGATGGCAGCGTCCGCATGAAATTCCTCGACCCCGTCTGTCATTGCTACGATAATCAGCGTCACCCGGTCATTCTTGCCATGAAGGCTGACAACGGTGGTCAGCTGAACATGCTCAGTCGCGATGATCTGGCTCGCGGAGGCGAATTCCGTAGCGTTTAGTGCAGTGGCTGTGATGGTTATGGACATGAGGTTGCCCGCCTCCTTATTGCGTACTCGCGTTATTCAGAGTTCCACGATACTGGCTCCTGTTCGATTGTACACAAGGGGTATCATTCAGCTCATACGAAGAGATGACGAGTGGGAGGATTGGGCCTCAGACAGCTAGTCGTTCGTATGAATCACAATGCTCATTCGTAAACTCCATGAAGTCTCAATTCATTGCACCAGTGATATCATCATGAGATATAGCTACAATGGTCCGATCAGAAAATGCTGTTCTTTTGTCTAAGAAAGTTGTCACCGTCCACGGCCAGCCCAAATAACAGACGGTAAGACCAGATGCAAATTTCCAGTCGCGTTCTACCATAGCATTGATTACCGACGCATGTACAATATGGAGGGCCGCATGGTACACTTTCGGAAAGTTCAGAGGGTAAGATTGATAGTGACTTTATGACGGTGGCAGTCCTCGACTTATAATCCATCTCAAGCTCTGAGGTGAAGCTATCGTCACACCATGTCAATAGGCCGAAGGGCTCGCGGAAAAGACTGCCAATTGTTTGTTTACCTTACTCATCTTGAAAGAGGCATCATATCCCAGTTGTAAACAGCCTTGCTTCAATGGCCTCGATGATTCTTAGTATGTCTCTCGTCTCGTCCAGCCACTGTCGTCCTTCTCGGTCCCGGAAGCCTCCTCTTCAACACATTGAATCACACTCACAATTTTCCTGCTCCTTCCTTTTTGTTTTGAGTGAGCTGCACCTTCCTCTTTACAATTCGAAAATTCCCTATTGCTGTGGTATAAAATACTCACCTGCTTATCCATTTCTTCCCACTCTCCCTTTCTCTCACTTTCACTGCCGCGACCGTACCCATTACCACAGCAACAACAATATCACAATATTATCACACCTCAACCACCACCAGTCACAACGATCACCGCCATCATGGCAGACCCTTTCCCATCTTCTGTTGTCGCAGCGGTGAATAAGCGCCCTCAGATGAAGGCTAGTGTGCCATACGAGGTCTTTCTTTACGTTGTTGAACAGCTTATCGATATGGCAAAGAGCAACGATACCAAGGTCTGGTCTCTCGCCTACAATCACAGCCTGGCCACCAAGCTGGTCCTCAACGATGTCAACATTTTAGAGGACAAGCCCTATTCCGTGACCTACAAGCGCCACCAGAAGCTTCGCCTTGTCTCGCAGATCAACCAGCAGTCCCGACGCATGACCGAGAAGACCTTTACCAGACTCCCATTCATGGTCGCCACTCCCGACGGACTCAGTCGCCAACTTTGCCCAGTCAAAGCATACGTCCCTGTCACAGACGAGTTCGTCCCTTTCTTCACATCTCTGGAAGAAGGCCGCGAGGCCGAACAGTTCATCTACAACCAAGCTGTGCTTCTGCCCTCTGCTTCTGGCTACGCCCTCCTCTCTCGCATCGAAAAGATCTTTCTTCTGCGCTTGCGCTACCTCATCACTGCAAACAAGGAGTCCCTTTCAACCCTGATCAGACTCCCTAACCTCAAGTCAATCACAGTCAACGTTGGAAGATTTGGCAAACTTCACAATAGAATGAAGCCAGGTCTCCATGAGGTCGACCCAAAGAAGTTTCCGCGCCTTGCAGAATTCTGCACTCAGGACTCTGAAGCACTCAGAACTCTATGGGCCGGTCATCTTGAAGCACGAGGAGTCAAGCTCTTCGGGGTCATCGACAATGACCAGCGCCCCATCATGGAGTTACACCCAAGTCGTGACAAGATCATGATCACATACATTCAGCCTCAGGCCGACGAAGCCGTCGAAGAGTTGAGAGAGCGCATGAAGCAGGTCTTGGAATCTTTGGCAATCTGACTTTGACGTTGGCGGATCACGAATGGTACAAAGGGATGGATTCACACTTGTCTTTTGGAAGGAGGATAGATACCCAGCTTTGTGGTTACGGAAAGACTGGTGTGGCAGTTGGGGTAGCTCTCGCCCCAAGAATCAGTCTATCATAGAAGGACGTACTGAGAATTCAGGTTGTTCAACACGCTGGCTCATGAGAAGTCGTAATGAGGAAATACCAAAGTCTTTGTCCCATGCACAGTTCATCGAAGGTGATTCGGTTTCTTTTGCACATGTTCACCGAGTATGTATGTCGTCGTCTCCAGTTCAGGGCCTTTCATGAAGCCTCAGCTTTTCTGAGAAAAATGTGACAGGACGTTGATCCGTATTGTGGTTGGTCAATCTGCCATAGGCCTGATCCTGCACCTTAAGTCAAGAGTGAGTATGCAGGCGGACAAACAAACAGAGCCCAACATGACGACTAAGCGGCTACTCACATGAAACCGAATCTTCTCAAAGTCCTAATCTTCCTACCTCGACTCATCCCTTCTTTCCTTTTCCACCCTCTTCTAGCATTGAGGTCGGAGTGTTGAGAAGGATTCGACAAAACACCGTCAGATCCTCAATTCTGGCGGTCGGAAGGTAAGTAGACAACTCGCCGCACTCACTACGACTTTTCATTTGCTAAATCTCCTCATCTAGATACAATGGCGTCTGATATCGTTGCTTCATCTTCGCCAGCAGGCTTGTCAAACACCAAAGGAGAAGGCGGTCAAGTTCGCCTCGCAGACCGAACAGTCCTCTCGACAGCCTCCTTCGCCGGCATGTCGCGATCCACTATCCGACGAGGCAAATTAAGTCCTGCAGATCTGCCCCGCGAGGTCTTTCTCAGCATCATCGATGCTTACCTCGAAAACGCTCTCGCCGACAACCGCTCAGTCCTATGGGTCATCGACTACCACCACGACGCCCCGACCAAGCTCGTCCTTCGGATCAGAGGCCATAACGTCGGCTCCGAGATGGTTGAGATGAGCGAACTCGACCGTTTCCAGAGCATTCGTCTTCCCCTCCAAATCGACAAGAAGACGCGCTCCATGGTACATCGCCACTTCCGCCGCATGCCCATCAAGAAGAACCACTCATACTACTCGCCCCTCTCCGCTGTCGACGCCTGGGTCCGCCCTGACGTTGACCTCTTCACGCCCGACTTCAACGACACCGAAGGAGCCCGTCCCATGCGCGAGACAAAATGCTCGTCGGCCATTCAGCTCCCCACTCCCCTGGGCCACGACTTCCTGAGCGGCGTCCAGCACGTCTTCCTCCCGACACTTCGCTTCTTTCAGAAGAACAACAAGGTCGCCGTCGCCGCGATGTCAACGCTCCCGAGCCTTCAGACGGTCTCCATTATCGCCGGCTATTCCGTGCCCATGTACGATGACCCCGAGCTCCTGGCGATTCACCCAGGCTGGATGAAGGTCGAGGGTCACCGGTACCCGGATATGAAGATTTGGGAGGAGAGACACGGTCGTGCCTTCCGCAAGCTGTGGCTTCCGTTTAAGAGACGTGAGATTGAGCTTTTTGCGTTCAGGGATGATATCAAGCCGGCTGTTATGGAGATGAAAATCACCAAGGACGGTATCCGCGTGAAGCACCTTTTCCCCGACTGCTTCTGCTGTCCGTCCGACCTTGAGTATAATGACAGGGAGAGTTGAAGCTTCAGAATAGCCATTTGTACTTGTACGAGATATTGAGCTACGATGAACCCGCGGACTCTGGGATTGCCGCGTCTCGGGCGAGGTATACATTATCAGTTAAGATCAAAGTCGAAAGCAATGAGTAGGCCGTGGAAAATATAATTAATTTGGCCAAACGTTTAGCGCAATTTCACTACCTCCTACTCCTCTGTTCATGCTTTCACTGCGGATTAATCTCAAACATGCTCTGTACGATGTAAGGTATTATTTGTGAGAACGGAACGGCTTATAGGCATAATACACCAAATTGATTGCCTTGTGACCCCAACAGGTAGGTGGCTGGGGCTCTCTTATCATTTGTGCCCGCTGATATTCCTGGTGCTTCCTCCCTTCTGTCGCCTCTGGCACTAGTCTTTGGTCCCTTTCGAAGGTTTGCGGCTCCGCAACTCCAAAGTCAGTCATCGTTTGTTCAAGGCAGCAGACATTGCCCTCCAGGTACCTGTAGTATGTCGGATAAAATAAGGCCCAAAAGGGTAGAAATCTTTGCCGCGAAATGGTGCATCCTCCCTCATTCTGGAAAGGAGGGGCATTCCTACTCCTTTCAGATTTCCCGCTTCTTACAAAATCACTTTAAGCTTCTACTTCGTTCTCATCTGAATTTCTTACCACTTACTTTTCTTCGAGCCAATCTATGTCATCCAACGATGTCTCCTCATCAACTTCGTCCGGCGCTTCCAGGTTGCGCCGGCCCTGACTCTATCCCCACCGAGATATTTTTTGCCATCATTGAGGCCTTCCTCGCAGATGCGAAAGCTTCTTCACGGGCCATTGAGTGGCGGTTAGAGTACGCAGAAGACGCTCCGTCGAACTTCCGGCTCGCTCTCACTGGCGACGTGGGTTACCCTGGACCGCTCAGCATCCATCGATTCCGAAACATCTCTATTCCTTTACAGATCAACAAGAAATGCAGAGAGCTCACTAGTAGGGTCTTCATACCGATTCCCTCGCTGCATTTTTATCTTGAGAGAACGGGCCCTGACATCTTCGTCCTACCTTACGTTGATCTATTCCGGGTACCCAAAGTGGAAAGTTATTACTTTAGAAGCCTCCTCGATTCATTGATATATCTCCCGACTTTTGAGGCCCACGCTTTCATGCAACAAATTCGACGATTTCATATCCTGGAATTCAACATGACTATTCTCGAAGTTGTTGAGAATCTGCTGCAACTGAAAGAAGTCATCTTCAATGGGAAAAGCCTCATTGACACCATCGAGATGAGTGATACCAAATGCCTTCTCGGTATGATTCCTATGGATGCCGACAATTTTCCCGAATGGAGCGACCATCATCTCCCCGAAAAGACCAAGTTTGGGTCATTTTGGAATCCGTTCGGCCGTCGAAGCGTACGAGTATACGGAAAAGTACCAGATAGTCGACTCTCTACCTTTGAGGTTTACAATACTTCGGATGACCCTGATGCGGAAAGTCCAAGTATCAAGTTCCTACATCCAGAATGCACATGCTCACAATGCTTGTCGGCAACAAAAGACGAAAAAGAGAGCGAAACCCGCCCCGTTGGCCCGGCTTCATTGCCTTCTAGGATATTTATGGCCATCATCGATATCCTCATATCAGAAGCTGTGCAGTCCGCATGTCCAATCTTCTGGGAACGGACTTATTTGATTAAAAGCTCCATCGCCCTAGACGCCAGGGACTACGGAAGAATGTCTCACGAAACTCGAAAGAGATTCGCAAGTCTCAGACTTCCGTCGCAGATCAACAGAACGGGTCAAAAAATGGTTCGTCAAAGGTTAATCCGAGCGGAGATATCACGGGGTGAAGAGCCCCCCTACGGATGGGCGTTGCCTGAAATCGACGCTTTTTCCATGGAAGACGAATACTTTCAAGCAAATCTGGAGGGCATTCGACTCCTACAGAAAGTGCAAAACATCATCCTTCCCACCAGTCCGGAACCTGGTAGTAGATACTTCCAGAATCAGCCAGCCAATTTCTGTACTGCTCTGGCGTTGCTACCAAATCTTAGGAAAGTAGTCTGTCACCTCGAACCATGGAGATATTATCGGAGTCGCCGTTCACCATCGGCTCTACCAAGCCCTCGCCCGAGCGAGCCGGTAGAGATTGACGACAGAATAGATCTCGACTTGCAACTCTTAACATCAAAATTTGATGGCATGTCTAATTGGGAATTTCTCGAGAAAAAGAAAGTTCGATTGTACGTCACGGATGGCGAGGGTGGTGCAGAGATCATTCAGACGACCGAAGGCTTCAAAATGAAATACTTGACTCCAGATGAGACCAAAGATTGTAAATTCTTGTCAGGTTGGATGATACTGTGATGCCAACAGGAAATTGGGAACGATACTAGATGATTCTGTGTCACTGTGGCTACGGAGAACGGAGTAAGCTCTTAGAACCAAGGCGTCATGAACATGGCGGTGGGGAAGTTTCGGACAACGAGATTCTACTTTTGCAGAATGCCTCACACATATTGAAGAGGGCCAAGTTAGTTAGTCTGGAGTAATATTGTGCTTGAGAATTTCCCTTTCTTCTCCTTTCTTCTAAGCATAGATACCAAACAAAGAATTCAAAGCCCGACGCCTGGTCGTGTAGGCGTACGATCCTTTGGTTTTCAAAACCATGCTTGAAAGGTCGGCAAAGAAAGTCTTTGTCCGTCTTTTCCCGACGTCAACGTCAGAGCATCAACATTTCATGACAAAATTTTCTTTCGGAGATCGAAAGAAAAAGTTGTTCGAGTCCAGTGTCGGTGGAACACTCAAGGTTCTTTATCTGCCGTCTCTGAAGCCATCGGTTTTACAGATATTATGGCTACTATCCTACCTGACAAACGCTGAGAAATTCTAGAGGCAACACACCATCATCACAAATTTCTCATACAGTATCATCACTACCGCATCACTTTACGCTTCCTGAGTATTGATTCGCCTACGACAATGACGCCACAAAAGACTTCGGACGTAGTGGAGGAGTCTCGTTGCCTTCCCCATCTCCCAAACGAGATCATAGTTATGATATTCGACAGAATGATCGCAGGCGCCGCCGCCGATTGCCAGCCCATCACGTGGGAAATTTGTCACAGTCAAGACCCTCAAAGACTACAACTCCCGGGACGCGTATTACAAGACGACGTAACAGCCTACTCACAACGACAATTCCCACACCTTGAAGACACGAAGCTAGTCTCCTCGAGGGAGCGCTTCAACAATATGCGACTGCCATTACAAGTCTGCTCTTGGACCAGGGCCATGGCCCTGAAGATTTTCCATCCCCTTCGCTATCGCAGCCAACCCTACATGCTGCCGCGTGCCTTACTCTTTGGAGAGCGCGTGTTTGGCTTTTCGAAGGAGGATTGTGTTTGGGCATGCCCAGCGCTTGACGTCTTCTGGATCATTAATGACGACGTCGAGATCGAGTTTACGCAGCCGTGGCCGTGTGCCCAACAATCGAGCGACCATCACGCCTCCTCAAGTTCTCAGCCTAGTGCGACGGCAGACGGAATCCTCCGGGTTATCCAAAACGTCAGATTCGATTGGCTCAGTTCGAATATCATATCCCCAGGGGCCCTGTCCGGCGCGCTCGAATGGTCCCTCTCCCTACCGAGTATCGAGCGAGTCTATGTGGACAAGCACCTGAGGCATCCTAGCTACGGCGCGGCCGGGTACTTGAAGACGGGACACTACCGGCTAGGGTCTCGCAAGCGTGGACCTGAGTATCTTCACCTCGTCGGGTTACCGGACAGAATCACCTATTATCTGCAACGCCCGACGACAGACAAGGCCCAGTGGAAGGCGCTGCGGAGCAGGAAAATTCCGGTTGTGGTTCGCGATCCAAGCTTTAGTGATGAGAGTGACGAGACTGTCCCGCTAGAGCTATTCCTTGATGAGAAGGATGAGATCTGCTTTCGGCTCTTCTGTCGGTAGTCCCTCCATGTTGTGGAGTTGGTCCTGGAGTGGGGGCCATGTAGAGTTAAGCTCGAAGGTAAGGAGGGACTGAGAAAAGACATCGAGGTTGAAACTTGAGACGTGGCTTCGGCAAGAACTATGCGGAAAAGCTTCTACGCCGGCTCCGCGATACTATGGAAAGAGACGAGGAGACTCTCTCGAGACTCTCTTGAATAAGAGGTCCGAGAGAGGCCAGGTTCCGCACGAGTGTCAACATCCGAAGGAGGGGACGTCGGAGGCACAGTGAACTTCTAGTCATTCCTGGGATCTAGTAGACCTGTTCGTATTCGTTCACGATGTTGGGAGGATGAGCGTGCGTGATAGATAACGGGAGGGTATCCTTAGTTAGATCAAGATAAAGAGACGTTTGTCTTTGAGGAGATGATCTCGGGGTAACAGTAACATTCAGTTTTCTCCTAGAAATTATCTCATGCCGAGGAAGTCGATGGCATTAATCACTGGTGCCTTGAGGATCGCCTGAACGGCTGCGTGAAGTTGGAAGGTATATATAAGGTGCCCTGCTGTCGACTATGAGTAAGGACTGCGTATGGCTTTATCAAGAAAGAATTACTTAGAGACTGCTCGTAGTTCTAACTCCCTCCCACAAATTGTGACGAAATGGTCGAGAGGCTCCGATGGCGCTTGCCATTGTATGACTTGAGTTCAAGTAGCAACTACGTATTATCCTGATGATGGCAGAGATGAAACGGAATGACCACAGACGATGCGCAAAAATGCCTAGAGCAGAAGGTGACAGAGGGGTGGGCGCAAACCACCCCTCATACACCAAATACAAGAATAAGCACGCTGAGAACCCACCACTCGGCGGCCCAAAGACGACAACCTACAAGGTGTTTGTCGTGGGCGTTTAGTAACCCACTTGGGCAAACCTTGTCCCCTCGAGGTCCTCCCCCAGAGTTACCACAGCGAGGCCCAGCAAGGCTAGCTTATCGCAGGGTGTATACAGTCCGTAAAGGCCCACAAACGCCTTTGGTAAGAACCTCGTGGGGACATTACTTACCCAAGTTTGAGAGTGAAACAATTTACTACTTGAGAGACGACAGTAATAGCACCGAATGTAACTCCATAACGAAGTTCCCACGACTGACAGCTGAAGGAATAGACGATACCTCACCTGATACTCTCACCTTAAACAGCAACCTCTCTAGACACAAACCCAACGGCGAAAGCACCCGACTCCGCTTACCTTGCCGGTCGACGGTTGAGGGGTGAATGGTGGATGACTTCATATCGACGAAAGCAAAGCGAGACGGCATGTCCGGCCCCAGTACCGACTTACCTTTCCCTCATACCATGACCCAAAAGCCAGGTATTCTCTCACCTCGCACGATCAGGCATCCCATCTGTCCGCTCGACCTCATTCTCTAAGGAAACTCTCCATGGCCCATCCCCAAACATAAAACAATGGATGGATGTAGCCTCAGAGCATGGCTGTGTAGTGGGAGTATAGCATGCCAGCCCGAGCTCACCCTCCTTCCAAGCATCCTCGTAACTATTCCGCTCGTCGGGAAACACCATCCCACGTTCCGCTTCGATCCGTTTCGGTGTCACAGTCTAGCATTTCCCATCCACCTTTTGCCTTTTATCGTCGTGCCGGATGTTGAAATCGCCCTTGTGGGTTGAGTCGGCAGAATCCATGGGCAACCGACCTCATCATCGGGGCCGCATGCTTCTATACCATCGTCACTCGTGTCGGATGACTCCATCAACGCAAATCCGTTGCAACGTTCTCGCTATCGTCGTAATCGTATCATCGTGTACCCCATTCGTGTTCGTCGTGGTCTTCGTCATCGCCCATTTCGCGCCCAGTATCTCCCCACTTTTCGTCCCCTACGCGACCTCGGACATCAACCTCATCGCGAAGTTCCCATCCAGAGCAAGCGAATCTCCGTCATTCCAAATATCCAGATTCAAGCTCAGTCGTACTCCAATCCAAACTCATACAACCGTCGTGTCGTCACAAATCCCAAACTCCTTCCCCCCAAAGCGTCGCCCATCCACGCAGATTCCACTGAGCGTATTCCCCAGGTCGCACGAATGAAAAGAACAGTCACAACAAAAAAGCACGAGCAAAAAAGTGCAAAGAGAAATCACTAGAATTATAGCTAAATTCTCGCTCATCTCTCATGTGGCAAAAAACCGATCCTCTCCCGCCGGCCGTTCCTACGCTGTGCTAGACCGCGCAACGTGCCCCCCGCCTCCGAAACGTCGCGGAGCTGGTAGAAACGGGCAATGACGTACGGCCGATCACCGCCGATCACCATTCGCCTCCTCTCACCTGAAAAGTAACCCCCCAAATCCCATCAGCTAAATTCCACCAAAAAACATAAGAGCATTGCAAAAAGAATACAAAATCAACAGCAAACAAACATCGTAAATCCAACAATCAATTGGATTGAAAAATCAAAACAGGCCGATTCGAATGACTGCAGAAAGAAGCTTTGCAAACTGGCCATTCCCAGAAACCCCCGCAAAAAATAGTCAACAAAATACACAACAACAGATTTCCCCGCTTCTTGCAAACGGTCGATCTGCAGATCTCATCCCTCTTGTTCGCCGTCAGAACCATCAGAAAGAAAAGACCATCGCAAAAAGATCCGAGAGAATCCCTGTCTTTCACATTCGTCGGTCGTTCCCCTTCTCTTTGACAAAGCTTCTGAAACGTCCCATCATCCACAGAGTTCTGTCATCCCCAGCCGATCATGGGCTCCCATCTAACCGTGCCGAGGCCCCCCCTCTCAAAACGTGTTTGCCGATCCCCGCCACTCAACGTGCCTCTTCGCCAGCCTGTCAGGTCAGGTCACCCAGAGAAACTCTGAGAGCTTGCAGAGAGGTAGGGTGGCGAGCTGGCGAAACGGGGGAAGCATACACAGTAGAAAAGAAAAGGCACCTTTCAGCCCTAAACTCAATGCTACTCGGCATACTGCGACAGCTGCCCCTAGAAGGCATCTTCCCACGGCGATCGCGTTTCCACTGGCACTCCTGCCACACGATCACCGTCGCATTCCAGGTGACAGAGTCCGCAGATCTGAATATCGCCCCGCGCGATAAACCTCTCCAGTGGTCTCTTGTGGTGATAGATGCCCCTTTCGCCGCCAGAAGAGTTATCTTCTCCCTGCCGATCGCGGAAACAAGCCAGGGGCAAGCTTCTGTCTCGCGTGGCGACAGCTCGCCGCCTGGCCACCCGTAGCATCCTGCCCATTGATCAGTGGAAACGCTTGTCTCCGCTGCTTCAAGGGCTTCTCGTTCGCTTGTCGCCTGCCCTACAGGGAGCAAGACCGATTGTAGGTGGCACTGGGGGCACTGATCCGTCCTCAAGGTCCCGGAGGGGAGCACTTGCACCCACAAGGAGCCAGCTGGCAAGCGAGGATCGACGTCTCAGCTGCTGCTCTACAAGGGGAATGCCCTCATGTAGCAGGTAATAGACCAGTAGATAATGAAGAGGATGTGAACCGCGAGATCCTGCAGCCCTAGCCCCTTCTCGCCTACGGTCCTCTCACTCCTCCTTCACCCTCGTCCCCCCACGTTCCGAGCCAAAGGCCAGAAAGGGTGTGGAAGGGGAACACCGCCACGAACTCGCGATCTTCCCTCAAAAGAGAGCTCTCGGGTGTGGCAAAAGCCTCAAGTTACCGCTTCAGGAAACCGACAGGCCTCATGTGTCGTCGCCATTGGCTCACCATTGACGTTCCAACGGCAAGACAAGCGTCACTCCGCTACCGAAGCAGAGAAACCTAGTCCCTCACTGTGGCTGGAGAGGAGGTGAAGGATGGGGTAAGGAGAAACGAGGAAACAAGAAGAGGGATTCTCACCTCGAAGTCGCTGTGTCCTGGAGGAAGAAGGGAGAAGCAGATCGGAGAAAAAGACAGGGCACGATCGGTGTAAGAGCGTGGAAAGGGCACCAGAACCTCACATCCATCAACCAAGAGAACCGCGTCGAGCGTTGGTCCATGGGGCATCGTCGACTCTTATCCTCTTCAACTTGGCGAGAGTCCCTTGTGGCTGGGTCCAAGACTCCCTTCTTCTGATGGAACCCCTCCGCCATGCCTCCCGAGTCCCGAGCCCTCGTGGCACCCCTATCCTCGGCGATCCCAAGAGTCTGGAATCGTGTAGGGGTCCTGTCACCCAATGAGCGGCCCAGATGTTGGCGAGATAGAAAGTGACTTCTTCCTAACGAGACCCCAAAGACCCTCACCCCTGGGGCGCCCACTGCGTCCGACGGCTGCAAAAGCCGCACCTACGCACGAACGCCATTTGTTTCCCCCATCCGTCCCCCTTCAACTGTGGCGAGTGCATCAGACCAGAGCCAGTCAGAAGTCGTACTTCTTCCACACCTGGCGCACACCCCCCAGGGAAGCAGCGGCTCAGCCACTTCAGCCACGCAACTCTCCACAGATATCGTTCGAACGCTCCAAGTGTGGCTCGCCTCTAAAGCCACATGAAGCAAGTGATCGACGTCTTCCCTACACTTGTGGCGGGCGAGGTCGAAGCCGAACAGAGGCCTTAAACCCTTCGCTAAACCTAATTGTTTTACGCGAAGGGGCTGAACCCTTGGCCAGCTGAGATGCCATGGTCTTGATGAATCTGACTGGATACTTCCCCTGAAGAATGATGCGACTTTGAGATATAGTTTGGAGTGATCTTCATGCCATGGAGGATCATGGGCGCCGGATTACCGACCTGTGGCACCAACTGTGGCTAGTAGCCGCGCAATCATGGCGCATCCTGTCTCGTCACAGGCGCACAGAGGTCATCTGGAATGTAACTGCCCTCCTTTTCTCTGCATGAAGTATCTTCGTGTTCCATAGACGCCGTCGAAGCTGCGTGACAAGGCTGTCTCTCCGTGGTCTCTCTTACAGCTCGTTGGGTCCAGGCTCTTCTGCGTGGTCCTGGAGATGCTCCCGTGGTCGTCAATGATCAGCGTGCAAACGCTCCGTTTTGGGAAGCCGGTTGAGCCACTCCCTTAGGACAAAAGGTCCTAGTCTCTCTCGTATCTTGAGCCACTCAGAAGCGTCTGCTGAACGGCTTGAGAACTGACTTGTGGCGAGTGCCCTCCACCATCTCTAGGCCGTGGCTGGCACTCCATTTTCCAATGTACTGGTACTTGGAATGCAGGACCTATGGCTTCACCCGCTCGCGTAGACCTTCATCGTGTACTCGTGCCGCTGCATGATGCAGACCCTTCGGAAATCATTAACTTTCAGGTGCAGGGTCTCGCAACCGCGTCTTCGCGACATGGTATGAGACGCGTGGCCGGAGGAGTGCTTCCCGCTACTTTTCTCTTCTTGGGTGATTTGGTGTGTACAGCTCCAAATTCTTAGACAATGTCTGAAGAATTTGAGACATTATCAGGCTCTGATGCAAGTTGGGCAATCTTCGAAGTATCCCTACGTTCTTTTTCCCATCAGCAATGGGACCGTGGGGTCGCATGCGACCGGGGCCGAAGGTGCTACCGTTACCTTTAGCCGCAGGAGATCGACCTGGTAAGGCGAAAGCCTCGCTTTCCGCATGCCAAGGTCGTTTTCTGACCCCGAATTCCCCGCACGCAGGCCCCTCTTTGAATGTATCTGTCAGGAAAGTTCGAGACTACCGGCGAAATGCGCCTCGAATTTCTCTGCGATGTTGTGAAATTTGTTGGGTTTGACGTCTTTCAGTAACAGTTCAACGTGACTGGACTGTATTTCAATCACAAACCCTCACCTCGGCATTCCGAAATATCAGACGGTCCGGGCTATTGGTGCCGGAGAAATCGATCAGAAGATCGAGTCAGAGATCCAACAACTCTCAATCTGTTAGCGTAATGCAATACAATCCCGTCGTCGCCGTGCGTGATTCAGAGACACAATGTCGTTTGAGGGCTTGTCCTCTGACATCGTCTGGCAAAGGAGGTTTCGTGCGGCCACATGGTTGCGGCCGTACAAGAGGCCGGTCGTTCATCTTGCAGCTCTAGCCAAGGGCGGCCTCCATGATAGACACCTTTGATCCAGGCTACAGAGGTGATGTGCCTGTGATGTGATACGGCATCGCTTTTGGTGAGATGATACCATGATACGTAGGCGATCGAATTGTATGAGCATGGGTAGTTGTTTGTGTACGCTGGTGTCTTGATATCAAGCTCTTTAGGGTCAACACGTTTGCTGCTCGAAAGTATCGACCAACAACGTTTCTCTACACACCCCTCAGCCACAAGTTCTTGGAGGTAGCCGAGCAACGCAGCATCCAACACGCTCATGATGGGCCATTGTAGTCGTAGGTAGTCGCCCATCTTTGGTCCTGTGGTGCGTCGCTTGCGCCACATGTGGCTTCTCGGCCTCACGGCACGGATAGGCGTATGTAGGTCGGCTTACTAGCTCAACCTTCATATTTTGACTCATGTTTGGGTCATCCGAGGAAACGTCTTCGAGCGAATGAGACAAAAGTCCATGGCGCTTCCAGACCCTCGAAACACGCAAGCACTCGCCACATCATTAGTGGCTCGTGTATCTCAAAAGGCAATGGAAGGCGGCGATCGCTGTGGCTTGACGTAGAGCAGTGAGGGGGATTGTCGGGCGGCCTCGCGAGGTATCTTGTACTGCGCCGATCGCACGGCATGGCCGGAATCCGGCCGGTGTGTAAGTGTCTCGCCGGGTACGTCGGGGGGATGGTCTGCTGACGGATCGGACGAAGTAAGCAATTGCCCCGCTATTCGCCAGTCGGTGGCCGCGGAGCTGTCGGGGTATGTCGCGATGGACCCCTTTCAGCGTATGAGCACCTGATGTGTCTTCTATCCATACTGAAAGCACTCGATAGGGTTGTCGAACATTTTCACTGATTCGCTGACCGAGGCATGCATGTTGAGTGGTCATTCTACCCCAATTCGAGAATTTCGATCGCAGAATAGCAGCCTGATGGATCAGTGGTACTCAAGCAGCTGTACGGAATTAGGTTGCCATCCTCGATGGAAACTTGTTGCCTCAGCCTTTACCGTGTGCTTGCCCAATCTTTTTCACCCCGTAGAGTCGCAAGAAAATAAACTTCGTTTGGCCCCGTTCCCCAAAAGTTGCATCTTCTGCTCCGGTTGGCTGGGATCGTTGAACAAACATGAACTGCGGGGGTCAAAGCTCGTAGGAAATAGGTGATGCCGTATTCACGAGCCCCAATGTCGGATTCTGTCGTGATTTCACCGAGGGCCAGCGAGACGGTCTGGATATGACTCTCAAGCGAGAGCCTCGCTCTTGTTCGAGGGTACGAATACGCCCGGATCCCGTCGGCGCGGCGCGGCGTCAGGGCGTTGGAGCAGGTCGTAATGGGACCGATCGGACGGAGACCGCTGTGCGGCTGGAGAAAGACAGTCGCTTTTCATCGACGATGTTGTGGACTCGATGGCTGTATTCAGGGATTATCCCAGGCGCGGCAGACCGAAACTTTGGATCCGTCTTCATTGCCAGAGGGAAGTCTCCGCTCATGTTGTTCGATTATGATGGAGCAACCGGACCCGCGATGACAGTGGTCTAGACCGTCGACGACGCTAGCGGAAAAAACACTTCGACAGCGGTTTCAACGCCTCCCTGGTGGCTCCCACGATCGAAATGAGCGCTTCCCACGCGAGATTAGCCACAACACGGCCATCTTCCAATCATCGTGCTTAACGACCTAAACGGCGGCTTTTGTGTCCCAGTCAGTAATAACCGCCGTGCATGACCTATACGGAACCGACATGAGCACTAGAGTCAGCCATTGTTTCTGTGGTTCGGTCTCTCGGGCCTGGCAATCTCAATTTGAAATATGCTTGATGCGAGCGCTGCGATAATAATGCAAACTTCATGAAAATGCCGTAAATTCTCTGTTCCCGGATAGACCGAAGAAATCAGCGGGTATGTTGCTATGGTACAAGCGACAATGCATTGCAGTGCAGGGAGCTCGTCTCTATCAATGTTCCCCTCCAATGCTTGCGTCACTCCATCGGCCAAGCTACATGGCTCCTGAGCGCTCAGGAAGCAAAAACACACACAAGGTGTTGCCTCGAACAAATGAAAGACAGAGAGTTTGGTACCAAATAGTATGGTAAAAGTTATGGATGCGTGAAATGAAAAAAGAGATTGAAAAAGGCCGCATCAGAGGCCATTGGCAAGGTCGAAAGGGCCACAGAAGTCTGGTTTGTCTGTGAGATCTTCTTCGTCGTGTGTCTGCCCGTCGCGCTTCCAACGAGCCTCTCCAGAGTGTGCCGAACGGCCCTTGCGGAAGGGGGGGATATCTTGTGTGTTTTTTGCTGCCCAGGATTGCCCATAGTGGCCCAGATCTAAACACCCAAATCATAAAGTCGCCCACGATTCGTGTGGCGAGAAGCGTTGAAAAGAAGAAGCGGCCCATCCAGGGACTTGGTATCTCAAAATCAACAACGCCTTCGGAGCGATATTCCAACCATGCGTGTGCGAGCGCGTGTATGCCTATGCCACCCATATCCTAGTGGCCTCCCTGGTGACGAGCAGAAAGAAAAAATGAAGCCCGTCCCCAATTCGATTCCTATCCAATTGTTGCTGAAGTAGAGATGGATCCAATTATGTGAAATTAAAAGTTAAGGCGCAATTCGAAACCGCCTTGTGCAGATGATTGATCCATGGCGTCGCCATCGCTTGGGTCGATGGCCATGTCCCATTCGCGTTTGAGCTGGACGGGGTTCTCGGGCAAGATCTCCTTGATTTCGAGCCTCATGTCTTGGCCTTCTCTGAGTTCTTGAATGACGTCGTCGTCTATCTCGACCTCGAGACCACGATCGAGAACGTGAACTGTCCGCAGAATCTTCGAAGGATCCAGGTTCCACTTTGCAGCCACACGATAGTTAAAGTCTTTGAGATTCCTCTGGGCCAAGTAGATAGCCCGGTAGTACTCCCGCTTTTCTGGCTCCGTTATGTTGGGTCGGAGAATGTAGAAGCAAGCGGCGGGCTTTACCACGCGCTCTGGAGGAGGACGATAAGCTGGGTCCACTCCTAGTGCCTCGATCCAACCGCTCAAATTGCCCGCATCGTCTGTTTTGGTGACCTTGGTAGGTTGGTCTGACCCTTGCCGGGAAGCAGGTTCGCCAGAGCCCTCACCCTCAAACCCAGCCCATTGACGATTCGGGACAACTGAAGCCTGAGACGCTAGTGATAGGGAGCTCGGCGAAGGTGATACGAGAGACGAGCCAGCAACAGAACTGCGGCCACTCCGTGCTTGCCATGCTGGGCCTTCGCGGGATTCTACCTTGGCAAGTTCGCCTTGCTCTCCAGGAAGCGAAACGGGGTGCAGGTCTGGATCGTCGAGTTCTTCGCCACGTAGGTACAATACGCTCACAGGTCGGGTACTGGTAAACATATCCTGCAATGTTTGAAGCTTGAAGTGCAAGTCTTCTTCGAGAGGAGGGCGAGTTCCGGCCCCGGCTGAACTGGTGGAGGACATGGACCAAGTTCGCTTGTGTTTCTGAACCTTGCCGGGTCGCTGATCTGCACCCTTGACTTGTGCTGCAGCGTTCGACCTCTTGCGCTTTCCAAAGTCCTTCATGCCGCTTTCAGCTTGGGTTATCTGTTGCTTGAGCTTGTCGATGGTCTTCTTGACGTGTGCAACATCGTTGGAAAGCTTCCGCTCGGCACCGTGGTCGCGGAACAACTTGACCTTGCAGAAACAGATCTCCGGGTTGGCATCGGCTGCTGGCTGTGCGGTGTCTATCGGGAATGTGCTGGTCTTGGTGCAGAGTCTTACTGGAATGCCTTTGACACCCTTGGAGTGACTGAAGTCGGTTGATAAAAAGTTGAAGCGTACGGCAATGTTGCATTCGGGGGCGCCGTTGATGCCGGGGGTCCAAACCACTGAAAACCCGTCAAAGGAGGACGACTCCAACTCAACACGGGTTCTCTTGTCGTCGCCTTCGGTCGGCTGGCCTGCCTCTACATATTCCACGGCCTGCAGCTTTCCGCCTCGTTGATGAGCTTCGTTTGTGCCTCGTCCCTCTTTCCACAAAGCCCAGCAGACGCCGGGCTTCTGCCTTTGCTGCTCGTCTTCGAAGGAGATCCGGACAAAAGTGCGGAACTTGGTCCCCGGAGCCACAGGCATTGTAGCATTGGTATCGACCACAGACAGAGAGTAAGCCTGGCCCTTGTTGAGATACGTGACGGGAATCTCATCGGCGTGTTTGATCATGGCGGTAGGGGCATTCAAAGTAGCGTGAAACCGGAACTTCTCAGCAGATGGTGGCATGACCGCAGCCATGGGCAGGCCTCCGAATTGGCGTCCCTGGAAACCAACCATGGGCGAGTTGTGAAATGCGCTGTCGATAGAAGCCATTCGCTCTTCAGATGGATCAGAGTTCATTGGCGACCCATCTTGCTCCATAGTCTCGTATCCGGTGTCTTGATGAACAAATGACGAGGGGGCGAAGGATTGCTGATGTACCGGAGGCTGGATAAAGGGATTGAAGGGTTGTTGAAACTGCTGAGGGTGGTGCATTCCTTGCATCCCCTGGAACCCGGCGAGGTCCATCATAGGCTGCCCAGCGTGCATTGCGCCTTCAGACGTAGGCATCGACAGAGGCGTCCCGAGACCCATGCCGAGCCCTAGGGTAGGTGTGTGCAAGTCACCGGCTTGAGGATGATAGATGGTGTTGGTGCCTCCCGGCGTGGGAGTGTAGTAACCGGGCGGAGCATTGGCGAAGTTGGTGAAGGAGAACGAGTTGGGGTCAAGCAGCGACGGCGTGAACCTCCATGGTTCATTCGTAGCTCTGGGCGTTGGGTCTTGATCCCTGAAAGCTTCATGACTGAGGCTGTGGCTTCTACAGCAAATATAATGTTAGCCACAGAGTCGGATAAATCAAGCATCTTATTTGGAATACTGCGCATGAGTCCTCTTGATCCACACATGGGCAAGAGTACCCCGCGTTTCTGCCTGAACTCATCCCGGCGGGCGCGGCCGGGTGCCGCGAAAGCAACTGCAAAACTCCAGAAAAGGTTCATGAAGGTATTTGTACTGACCTTTCTTGAACGCCCGGAATAGACGGAACCATGCCCGTATTATCAACGGCGGCGCTCGCGGCGCCAACTGGGGCCGTGGTCGTAACAGCCACCTCGGGGAATTGCTTTCGAAAAGTGGCCAGCAATTCATCGCCGGGTTTTTGGGCGCTTGTTCTGTGAACAGGCACACGAGTCAGTACATGTCCGGGCAGGCGCAAAAAGGTTTCGAGATGGCGCAACAACGCGCGCATCCTCTGCGGGGAGCCGGGCTGCACAGCTATTTTTGTCGGCACATAACGACAAAACATGGCAGAGCTTACCTTTGGCGAAACATCTTGATAGTAGATCTGCGCGCTGCCTAGTGACAGCGATACCGAGTTGGTGTTCAGTAGTTGTGGGTGGTCTCCCAAATCCAGTCTCTTTCTGGCGAGCGATCGAACGGTCCGAATCCTCGCCCTCGTGTTGCTGCTTTGCGACGCCTGTCTCTTTTTTCTTCTTCGTCTGCCGTGATTCAGCTGAGCAAGCCTGAACTTCCTTAACGAGCGTAGGTCAGGTGGGGGAAGGCCGAGCTTTGGCGCCTCATAGAGCGGTCGGAAGTGAAAACGAGCGAATGGGTAGGTGATAGCGTCGTACGTGGTCGCGGAACCAAATGGGGGGGGAAAAACCGATACGAAATTGGTTCTTCAAATGGTGATGTGCAAAGTCGAATGGGCCGCTAGCAAAGGTCGAGAAGTTGCAGTTCGAGAGGAAAAGGCCGCTCCGGTATGACGTCCGTGGGGAGAGAGCGGTATATTAGAGGATGCGGTGGGTACCTGGTAAGTACGTGTGTGAAGCAAGGTGGACAGACAAGGATGCGCGGCGGAGTCACGATGGCCTAGATGCGCGGTGGGCGTTTCTGTCGATATTGGAACTGCTTCGCCGAGGAGATGAATCGGGCGGGTGTAGCGGCTTGCTTAAGAGGCGCAAACGAGGAGACTAAGACGTTGGAAGACAGAGACCATGCGCGCACCAGAAGTAACAGCAAGTGGTAGTCTGTTGGTTCGCCAAAGGGTCTCGTAGTCTTGGTGTGTGGTTTCGGGTACGGCCTGTAATGGTGCGTTGCTTGGTACACAACCTGTGGCTCAAGGTGAGTAAATGGACGGTAGACAACACGGCGGGTGCGTGGGCGAGGTATGCGTATTATGCTCCGGGGCCGGGAGAGAGGTTGGAAGAGCGCGCAAGAGCGAGAAGAGACGCGGCTACGATGGAAGGTCGGAACAGAACTTCAAGCAGGACGGGTAGGTAGAAAATCCAAGGGAAGAGGGATGGATGGGATGAGCGGTATCTAATGTATGTATGTGTGAATGCGCGCTTGTAAGGCAGAGCAAGGTAAGGTAAAGAGAGGTCAGGTAAGGATGGGGGTGTGCGCACGGGTTGAACGACGGTGCAGTGCGCCCTTTGGGCTGGGACCTGGGTTGATGGATATGAAGATGGATGGGACCTGGGTCTGGGACCTCCTTGGAGGAGAGAACTGGGGCCCTTGGGGCCTTGGGTTGACGCTGGTAAGGGCATGGGTGTGTGGGATATGGAAATGGGTGTTGGAAGAGATGGGTAAATGGGCATGGGTGAGGATGGTCGGGGGGAATGGGTACCTGACGATGTGCTTGGGCAAGACTGCAAAGACAAGTAGCTGATGGTACGTACTCTTTTTTTCTTCCCTCTCGCTTTTCTTTCCTGTGAGGTTTGCGGTTGTGGGAGTGGGATGAAATGTGGAAGTGAGGTGAGCTAGTTGATGTCAGGCAGCAGCAGCAGCAGCAGCAGCAGCAGCTGAGTCGAGAGACACAAAAGAGGTGAAATGGGTTGCAAGGACTGGCAACGCAGGAGGATACCTAACAGAAGTTGGAGATGGAATAGCAACAAAAGTGAGGAGAAGTCGGGTAGGAGGGGAAGGATGGAGAAGAAGGCCGGTATATGGGAGAAGTCTGGCGGAAGATATGAAGAAATCGCAGTGGGGTGTGTTTGTGATGTATCCAACGGAGGATTTCCGGCAGTAAGGTAAGGTACCTTTTACCTTTTCCTTGCCTCGAGGTGGGTGAGGTGGGAGCAGAGCTGAGCAGAGCAATGATGCACAGCAGAGCGAAGCTGTGTAAAGTAAGGTACGGATACGTAGAGGGATGATGGATGTCAACTCAGGTACTACTTCCGAGAGAGAAAGAGAGAGAGAGCAAAGTCAAGCTGGGTCGAGTGGAAGAAAGAGGTAGATGTTGAGTATGAGGAACAAACAGTCGCTCGCTCCCTTTGAATCACGGCACCGTGAAGGTACGTTAAGGTAGGGTATGTACTGCGTAAAGTAAGGCAGGTAGAGAAACGAGTCGGACGGGGGAGGGAGAACTAGAAGGAAGAAGACGATATTGTGTCGGGTGCCATTGGATTGGATGTGTGATGTGTGAGGTCGGCCTGCTGCTGGAGCTGCCGCTTCCGCTGCCACTGCGCAGCTGGGCTGGACTTTGTCCCTCGTTGGCTTTTCTGGTCGGGTCGGGTGGACATGCGAGGTTCCGACTACTTGCTGTCTTGCGTGAGACACACGGTCAGCCGAGGTAGCGGTACGTGTCGTTGGAGGTGGGACTCGACTTGCAGTACATGCGTGCCACTGTTTCTCCCCTTCCTCCTGCTGCTGCTCCCCTCGCTCCTGCTCACTGGAGGTAAGGTGAGGTGAGGTGGTCTGGTCTGTACACATGTCCGTACCGCTACCGCGACTGTGAGGTCGTGTGTGGGCAGTGGCAGTGGGCAGGCAGGGGCAGGGCATGTCCATCGGCGGCTTCCTCCACTCGATCCCCCCTCCCTTGCCAGGCCGACTGTCCATCTTGGAAAAAATAATTGTTAGTGCGCGACAATGAGCATTGTATCGCACCCCCCGCTCGCTGGCCCCCTGGGATGGGATGTGTCGACAAGGCTCATTTATGCACACGCCCCTCGTGCTCTTCGGAAAATGGACGGCAACGGTTGTACCAATGTCTCTCTCGAGCACCCAAGTATGGATACGTACTCCTTATCCCATCATCATCACTCAGATGGATGGGAGATACGGGAGAATGAGAAAGTGCCGCCGCTGATGTGTAAGGTACCAAGTACTGCAAAGTCGATGTAGAGATTCGGGAACGAACAAGAGAGGCGACCGACGACGTAAGGTAAGGTGAGGTGAGGTGACGGACTGACCGAATTTCTCTGTTTTTTTCTCTCTTTCTCCCGTAACGCGCAGCTCTGTGGCCCCATCAGACCGAGGTCAAGTCCATCCTTCCAGTCCAGATGTATCCGCACCCTGCTCCGTCGAGTGTTGTCTCTGGCGCCCCCAGCTTCGAATAGAATCACCCACGTTATGCAAAGGGGGCGCGCGCATTCATCACCGCCAGTCAAGCGACCAGTCAAGCTCAACCCCGACGAGTGTGGCACCTCAATCGTGGCTCGAGCTCTTGCACTCTCCGATGTCTTTCTTATTTGGCCAAGGCTGCTATTACGCAAGCTAAAGTGCAGAGTAGCGTATCTGTATCCGTACCGATGGTATACAGCACTACGGATACACTCACAGCATTGCCTCTCTGCCGGCCGTTCTGTTTTGCTCTTCTCCTTCCCCTGCACAGTCAGCCGACACTTTTTCTAACTTCAGTAGACTCGGAGAAGAAAGATTCGGAGAGTGGGGGATGGACAGGGGGACGAAGCCGCGCTACTCCGTCCCAGCGGCGACCTTTCCCATCTGACGTAGTTGCTTTAGCTGACCACTCTCTGACAGAGCCGATTAGTATGGCAGATTGATTGGGATCGCGGCTCGGAATAGACGTGAGAGGCAAAAAGACGTCGTCAGTCAATTAAGAGAAAGTGCTGCGCAAAATGCAAAGGACCACAGAGTATGGATACCATCCACGGAGGCCTTGCTAGCATTTGCAACCTAAGTTGCGGATGCTAGTTAGTCTAAGGTAGTCGGTCCCTCATCTTCGGTTCTGCGGCGGCGCGGCCTGCCCTGGTGCAGTTGGGTGGTGTCTCGTGGTCGGGGGAGCTATTCTCACTCTGGCTTGAAGCCTTGAACAGGCGGGAACGGGGAAACGCGCGAGTCTTGTCAGATGGCAGGCCCTTTCTGGCCCTCTTCTGTCTGGATTGGGCCTGGCTTCATACCGGTGTAGACTTTCCCCTCATGCGCCTACTGCGTGCCTCTTCCCACCCCGAGACAAGGTAAGGTACCTTGTACGCTGCAGCCCGCACAACGTTTGGTCCCTTGGGGTCCTTGGGATCAGATTTCGGCGCCGTCGCCGTTGCCGTGTGTCCCATCTTGGTGCTTGGCTAGCCCTGATGGTCATTGTTGGCGAGCCGTCATCCGTGTGCAGGCTCGATTGCGACAGGACAGCTTTCTCTCTCGAGCTAACCATAGCAGCGATAGTAGCCATAGATTGGGTGCAAAGACGAGAATGGAGATGCTCGGTGATGGATGGGGACGGAGACGGGGACGGAGGCACAAGTTCGGCCAGCCAAGCAAACGTAGGCCATAGGCAGGTGCCGTCCGTTTCTTTAACGAAGCAATAAACATCCAGAATGATAGATTGTTCATTGTTCATTGTTCATACGCACCATGTGCCTGAGGCCTACCTTAGGTACCTTACTTGACTCCATAACCGCGGCGGTTTTCCCCATTCGCACTTCGTACCTGCTCCCGTGTGCCGTCCAACCCTCGCTCCTTCTCATTAACCAATATCATCGGGATTACTATTGAATCTCGATGTAAGGCAGTTGCTACACACCCAAGGGCTCACCACCTTTAATACTACCTACATTGCTGACATGGGGAGCTGAGCTAAGGCCAGGCACGGAGTAAGGTACTCTATTCTCTCCTTCTTTTTGTTTACTTTTTTGACCAACATGGTAAACCAGCCATGCCACATGTACCAAGGACAAGGAAGCAATGCTCTGACGCTTCCTACCCTAAGGCACCTTTCCTTGTTCCGAGGTACCTTCCCGGAAGGAAAGTAGAAGGAAGAAATAGCGCACCAGTCAATTGCTCCCGCTTGCTCCTGCCGTTCTCTCTCCAGTGTCTACTTCGTGCCTACCTTCCTTACCTCAAGGTAAGGTCATACGGGTTATGGTGTTTTTCAAATATGGGAAAGCGCAAAACGCCCTTGCTCAAAACAGAAACACCACACATGGCAGGTGTGCGATGAAGGGCGCCTTACCGAAACTTTAATCGTCAACTGGGCACTTTAAACGGCGCCTTCCTCGCACCTTATCCTCAAGCATGGAAGGTAGTAGTCAGCATTACCTTGCCTGCCTCACTAAACAATGTCTCTCTATCTGAGGGGGCCTGGGCCACCTCTCTAATACCTTTGCCCCAAGGTACTGAGCTGAGCTGAGCAGAGCAGGCATCGCACCTCGACCTTTGCGGCGGCTTGCTCCTCCCGTTCCCTTGTGCCCAGCTCGGCTGATTCACTCCTGCCTCACACTTCATGTGTTGGGAACCTCGTCTTCCAGCGGAAGGAACTGAGAATGGGTGCTTTCCATGTTGCGCAAAAGGCACCTTCAGGCTTCCAGGCTCTCTTCCAATGTAGAATTCAACTCCACGGGACTGCCGTGCTCTTCAATCACATCATATCGCCGCTGCCCTCGTCCCCGTCCTTGTCGTCCTGCATCCTGAGTCCGTCGTCTCCATCTTCGAGAACACTGAACTCAAGAACCTGCCAGTGCCAGTCCGACCTCATCTTCATCTGCCCACACTGCCACAAGCCAATTTCCAGTTCTGCGTCCATGCGCCTTTTTGTTTTCCCCATCCTCGCATTGGCATTTCCGTGTGCCATGCTCCCTTTGGCTTCATCATTCCCATTAACCCCGCCCCTGGCCCGTCCTGCGCTTCCTCTTCTGCCGTCTGCCATCGGTGCCATCCATGCATACCTTACCTATGGAGTACGGAGTACACTCTTCTTCTTTCTCGTCCACAAGCCTCATCCTTCTCATGTCAGTCTGCTAATGTGCCTACCGTCACAGTACTATGTGGGCTCGGTGGGTATCGTCTGATTAAGGCGTCGTCTCTTGGATCGGTCCTTTCTTGCGCCATCGCGTCTCTGACAGCTGGATGCCCCATGCCGGCGCCGCCCCTCCGAGAAAACGTTCAGTATTGGCATTAGGCGCCGGAGCTTTGTACAACTTCGTCTCCAAAGATGCTCGCCGGTGCAGTCCGCCCATTGTGTATTCTTTGCACAAAACTTCCATCGCATTGTTACTCGACTCCAGGGTCCAAAATCTGCATCACCCTTCGGGCAGACCTCGTCTAGATTGACGCAGCCGCCCAACTACCTCGGGCTTTAACCAGTCATTCCGCTGAAGGACGCTCGCAATTCTCCGTCTTTGCTTTTTTCGACCAATTTCATCCGCTAACTCAAGACAATCTGCCAGCCCTCCGATCCCTCGTCCAATGCTTCAGATGCACTTTCTACTCCGTACAGGGCGAACTAGTACCGCACCATTCGTACGGGTGCATTCCGTCAACTCTCTCTGCCTGGCCGCTCTGGCCATAGGTACACAACTAGGAGTCGCGGATGGTCGGTGGACAAAATCGATGTGACACTTCATTCGTATAGCAGCACGCGGCTCGGTAACTCTCAAAGCCTACAGCGCTGCGATGCCTTCCAAGTCTGGTCGAGCCGTTTATCCCCGTCAAACCTAATCCGCGGAACGCCACCTCGGACTGCACGCTTAGGTATTCGTACTCAGTCCGTGCAGCGGTTGACATACCTATTTCTGCCAGTACGCAAAAAGTTGCTTCTTCGTCATAAGCAGTCAAATGCCTTACCAGAAACATCTACCGCCAAAGGATCAAGCCGGCGTGTACCAATACTTGCACCACCATACCACACCCGTTGTACATTGAAGATGGCGAAGGCTTGCCACAAGACCCCTGGACCCTTAAGCCGTGTGGCTGTGCAATCTCCGTTTTGCCCCTCGCCGAAGCGCCCTAGACGAACTGGAGAGCTGCCGAATCCCAATCGAGCTGTGCCAGGACGGCCAGTGTCCGAAGATAGAGACTTCTGGGTCATTTGACAGATCGCAGGATACACCAAAACGGTCATGCCCGACGACTGCTGCCGTTGGAAGGGCATTACGCTGGCCATGGGCTTGAAGCCTAGGGTCTTCGGGGATGTTCGTCTGAATGCGATCCCGAAAGACGGGCTGTATGCGCTTCTTGTCGGCCAATAGCGACAACCTAACAGCTCATTCAGTCGATCATCGCTTCGACGGCTAAGCAGGCCGACACAAGTCGCCGGCGACACCCCACGCCCAAGTCTCGATGAAGTCGGGAATTGGTTCAGAAGCGGCAATGGTCTCGGATCGCATATTGCAACAACAGGCCCTTGGGGTGTCTCCTTTCTGCCTGGCGGCGATTCAATGTCTACACTAGTGAATGCAGATCTCTGCCCTGCAAGCCATGCCGCCTAAACCCCAAGTAGTGTTCTTGATGTCAACCACGATTCAGCGATGCGATCAGCGCTGCAATCGTCAAGACAATGCACACAATATCCGGACAGCGAGCATGATTTACCCCTGAACCCCCTACTGGTGGCCCCCAGCGGACGGACGGCTGTTGGCTCTGTCTCGGTCCTGGTTTACTGACAGGGCCGAATCCGATTTCATGTCTTTCATCGGGTCAATCGCGTATCCTTTACAAACGGTGCAATTTCACAGCGAGGCTGTAGTGGCTGCCACCATGCAGGTATGCTCAGCGTTTCAATTCCACCTCTTGCAGGCTCGTTGATTCGACATCCTAGGTTGCTCGCTAAACGGCGGCTTCGGGCCTGACTATCCTATTCCAGATGACTGGCCTTGCCGACCGTTACGCACCATCTAGTGAACTCTAAGTGGCGCTATCACAACGTCGCCAACGTTCTGTTAGCCTGGCGCGCCGTTGTCGCTACTGGACATGACGACTGTTACCCGCGCGGGACACGGCACGTGGCAATAGCTCCCGTCCCGTTCACACGCGACCATTGGCTGCCATCACTTTCCAAGGCAGATTTGTGTTGACGCCATCCCGATGGTAAACCACATCCGACATCGTCAGTACGCTGTTTGCTGAAGACTTGCGGCGGCACAGCACTGGTGACTGTGACCGGTCATTGTGGCAGCCATTCTAATGGGTGAGATTTACTTTATGATACTGCATTGAGGAATCCATCAGTCCGGTACCTCGATACCTCGAAGGCAACGCGGAAACGTATCCGCAGTCATCATGCAGGAGACTTCAACTTGGCCGCGTAACAGGAGCATACATCACACAGCTCTGTCTTGACGTGGAGCTTTGTTTCGAATGGCTAATGATATTGAAAGGGGGGTTGACGTCATTTTCCCGGCCAGCGAGTTCCTAGATGCACCTCCAAGGGCTTACTCGAGTCAGCTCAATCCCCATCTTGAAATGCAACCAAGGCTTCGGAAACGAGAATTGACGAGGATTCTTCCGGGCCGCCGTCAAATCCACGGCACAAAACTTGTCGAGTGTTTCGTACTTAGCCTCTTTGAGTATCGAATTGGCCCGAAACGCTGCCAGAACCAAACCGCCCGGCCGTTGCATAACCGGGCGTGGTAGTTTGAGACGACGCTGCATTCTTCACAGCCATTTCGGGATGCCGACTCGTCCAGAATCCTTCAAGCCGTATCGAATCAAAGCAAGAGAAACGTTTTTTGACGATGGGTATATGGCTCCTTTCATTTACACAGTATATAGAAGTCCTCGGGAGATTACAAGGCGACATCCAGGGATCCATTGAGAGACTATCAAAGTTGGCCGCCGACTGATCATTTCCCACTCGGACCAGTAGCTGTCAAGAGAGGAGACGGGCGCTGCGATCCTTGTTTCATCTAAGCTTATTCACTTTACCGCACAATTCACTAATTACCACGAGAGCAAGCCTCGAGGCTAGAACACAAGAACCACAATCCTCAAGGCCATCGCCTCAATGCGTCTCTGGCTAGACTTTATGTAAGCCCCAAACCTGGAGAACGAAACAGTTGCCAGCGGGGTCTGATGATGAGCGAGAGATATTCCGTACCAGGGGTTCCGAACCGAAAGTCGTCAAAGACTCATCTCAGTCACACTTCACGGGCGGGCTAAAAGAAGATCTACTGTCGATGCGAGCTTTAGCGAGGGCCCGACTGCGGCTGCAATGACCTCTACAGTCTGCAAAGCTTGCCGACCACAACAACTTCCAGCACGTCCCAATAGTTCGGTGGAGGCACTGGATCCGCCTCAAGTCGTGACAGCTACAGGCCACACAGTTGCCCTTGCAGATGGGATCGCCGAGCTGCCAATTTGTTCTAGACGGACGTCAACGAAGCTAGCTCTCAGGAACATCTTCAGTGCACCACGCTAAGAAGAGTCCAAAGGAAGCCACTCAGATTTCCCCTCGGGCTCCCCGTATCTATGCAGCACAGGTACTCCATCAGTGCAGAGCGCTCGAGCCGAAACCTTTACCACAGGCCTCCATTTAGGGAAGAAGGTTGATGGAGGGCCAGACCGTCTCATGTCACAAGCAACCCCATGCCTAGACTCTAGACCCGAGTGTCTCGCGCAGCGGCTGTGAGTATGTGACTGTTCCCAAATTACCAGGGCGAGGCGGGGACAACGAGGGAAAGGCTCTGACGTCATGACGACCCAGACTCACCTCCTTACCCACAGGCTAATGTCGAGAGTTCGAAACTCATCAATCACGGGGCTACAAGCCTGCGACAACAAGCGCGATACCTAGGTCTCTGGTTTCTGGACGACGATCTACATCCGTAAAGGAGCCTCAGGAAGAAGGGTATCATGAATGGTTTGCCGATTGGGCCGGGACTGGTTGGCGCCAATGACCAACATGGAATCGAAATAGAAGCACTGTTTGTCGGGAGCAGGCCGCCGCAGCTGGCCTACCCGTTTTTGATGCCGATCTTCGGCTCAAGACGCTGGAGAATCTGCCCATGGGCGTGGTAGTTCATCCCAGGACAGCTTTCAGGGGGGCAACGACGAACCAATCGTCGCTTGCCTTTGTCATCAACTTCAACGGTCGTTGTTTGGTTCCTGAGCACAGCAACCCAACCGTTCGTCCCGAGGAGAATGGAAGTTCGAGTCTACTCAACAGAGTTTCCACGACTTGACGAGATTGGACCGGGCCACTGGCCGAGAATCCCCCTCTCCGCACATAACAAGGCGGCCGAGCAGGAGGCCCTTCCAGTCCAGGCCTGTTGATCAAGTTGCAAACTTATCACCTTCTCCTCATGTCCAATCCTATTATCATACCGCTACACAGGATACAAATAAGAATGGCATCCAAGCACCAACCACAGAGTCAACTCCCAAAGGATCCTGCAGGGATAGACCCAACGCGCTCGTTGCAGTCCGATGAATTCGCATCAGTTTCGGGATAACATTGCCAACATTAAACCATAAGGATCCGGCCGTAAGGCTTCTAATTGAGACCCAGAAACTCGCCAAATATCGGTAGTTGGGTGTCCCGATAATTTCCAGCTGTGCGGTTCACGTCGCACACACCTGCCGTGGTTTGTGGGTAAGCTGATGAGAGGCAATCCTCGCGTATGGAAGAAGTTGCAGAGTCTGTGGGATGGGTCTCGTGATCAAAGACACAGACATGCACCAGCGCGTGGAACATGGGTGGGCAGACTTTGGTGAGAATTCGCCCCTTCAGCGTCGTCTTGTTGCCATCGCCAAATGGCAAATGCCTCACTGACGACATTGGCAGCCAGTCAAAATGGGCCTCGCAGCTCAGACTGTGACTTTGATGGTTTTGTTTGGTGCCACTCAGATGGAGTCCACTCCTGAAATTTTCCTCCTCCTCTTCATCCTGGGGGTGAGACCTGACGTTGATTTGGCACGGCGTACTCAGATGGAGAGGACGGTATTGCAAAGCGCCGTATGTTGCTTTCGTCCCCGGGGCTATGGAGAGAAACAAACTGATGCGGGGCCCAGGACCCGCGTGCGCGTGCTCCATCTCCATTCTCCATCTCAGTCTCCATTTTCATCTTAGACAAGGACCGGGGATGGTTGTCAACGTTGGAGGGAGCGCACCGCCACGGAGGGATGATGTCATGTCGTGCTTGAGAAAGCCAAACAGAAGCAGAAGAAAAAACTGTCTTCACTCGGTTGCTATTTTCACCAAAGTACGGATACATTTGGAACAGCGACATCGACTCCACCAACAACATCCCACGATGGCACATGCTCCATCCACTCCAAAGGGCTCCAATGAACAGTGTTTAACCCTCACGTATTCAGCCAACTCTCCGCAATGCAGCATCATTGAGAGTTGCGGTGTGGAAACCTCTGCGCCGCACGCTTGATTCGTGGCACCGGTAGAGCCCAGCGTTGTGCTATTGCAATGGTACTTGCATCAACAGTCGTTGCACAGAGAGTTGAAACAGACCCCGACAACACACGATCCATGGCTCTCTGTGTCATTGAGAGAGTTGTGTGGGACATGTTCGAAACTCGCAACCCTGTCATCTGATGGGCTTTACCTTTGTCAGACCAGCTTCCGAAAAGGGGAGCGCGCTGAGCTTTCCTCAGGGCCTCACTGCAGTCACATTTTGTGCCGTCCAAATGGGGATACTGAGGTGCCGCGAGCAACGTCATTCTCTCTAGAAACGGGGCTCCCGTCTTTGCTCTGTTCGGCCTGACGATACATCGAAGTATGGATACAAATACAGGGGTCGGCCAGTCTCGGCACCTCATTCTTCCCGGGTTGCGGCACGAGTGTGTTGTGGCGTTGACTGATGGAAACTAGTTGCTGGGCCTGGTGAGTCTGCCTGAGCAGCAGCAATCACCAAGTTCTGCCCACTACGAAGTACGGATACCACGAAACATAATTCTCTGATCAGTTGAACTTGGCCGGATAATTCACCGAGTGGATACGGACAAGGTGTTACCAGGCGAGATGGCAGAGTACATTGTCCATGAGTAGACGGGTCCAGCAAAAGCTCTACCCCGGGATCCTGAGCTCGACCATGGATACCATGTCCAGCCCAAATGCGAGCCCGCACTCAGCACTCAGGACGTTGCCGACCCAGACGTGCCAGAGACGGCTACTACAGCGGCATGATGATTATCTGTCAAATAATCATGCCTGGTAGGCATTTCATGCCCATATTGCGCTGACAGATAGCGCACGGAGCGTCCAGCAAGCCCTGAGTTAAAGCCCGCATATGCGGCGTTGAAGCCAGCTGCCATCGGCCTCGCACGATGTTATCGCGAGCCACAAATCTCGCCAAGAATTGAAAATACAACGCTTCAGACCAGCTTGGGTGGGCGGCCGTGGTACAACACGGATAGAGAGCCCGGGATCGTGGCCTTTCTGAGCGCGTCAAAGTGGGAGGGCAGCCATGCATGTTTGCGGGGCCCTGGCACATGTGGCTTCGGAGCACGCACTCTTGGGGTAAGAGGATTTCAGCAGACCCCAGGGCGTTCCGTAGCGCCTAGTATAACGGTATAACCTCCTGAGCGCTCATTGCTCAATGCCCACAGGAAATTATGACAACTGATGGTGTGCATCCCAATCTGGACACATGGTTGAAGCCATCTTGGGGCATCCCGCGCAACGGCGCTGGGGTACAGGAGGCTAACTACGAGACCATGAAGCCCTACCCAGCGATCGATACCAACCGTCGTCGGTTGCTCACTAGTACGGTTCCTTCAGGGTCCTCGCATTCAGCGCCAAAGCAAGGGACCAACTGCCCGAGTCTAGCTGGCCGTTGATCGCCGATTCTAGAAGAGAATCAACCATCTCCTTCATGCTTCTATGTAAACGGCGCCAACAGTACCAGGTATTTGGTTGAGGGTCGCGGCAACCACAGTGGAGGTGGGGGGCACACTGGTGCTACGCAGTACTGATACATGGGCAAAGGCACGGATTTATTTTCATCTCTGAGTTGCCAGCGAGCCCCATTGACTCATGGTTCATCGAGATTGCTTCACGGCTTACCTCGCGGTCAGCGTAAGGTAGTATAGGATCTCGTACCTTACCACTCTATCGTGGCCCGTAACTTCAATAGCTCGCCGAACCCTAAAGTCCCCGATTCGCAGAACAGCGACAGCCGCTCAGACTGGCTATGACGGAGATTCGACAATATCGCCCGCCATTAAGTGCCAATAAACCTGTCAAACTACGCTCCGACTGTGGCACACGAGTCAGTTGGAGTGTACTGCGTATGAACCAGAGAAGACATCTTGATGGGTTTCTCAGTCACCAAAGAGAGGGGCTACATAGTAGTCGCAGGCCGTGACCCGCCCTGGCCCATCATCCTGGAGCTTAATTCCAATCTTACCACATGCAACGCTGGGCAGTTGACGCAGGACACCTTCGGGGCTTGATCCCGCAGCCGGGGGAGTGCCATATGGCCACTATGGTCGCAACTCAGTCAGTGGAGATACAAGGTTGCTGTCCGACGCGCCGGTGATGAGAAGCTTTCGTCAATATGCGTCAGGGCAATGTCTCGTAGCCGAGCCGGTTGAGTTCGCCTGCTTGGGTTGAGGTCCACCTCACGTTACACTCGGAGACCCGGGGCACCAACCTGCGCTTTGCCGGACATGGGAACAAGGCCTCTAGGGACCGTTGTCATCCACCCCGGAACGTGCCCTTCTCTCGGGACTAGGAAATGACGAAGCTTAGGGTTAACTTTGTAAGCGCCAGTTGACGAGGGTATCCGGGCGGAGGTTGCAACACTAACGGCGGCAAAAACAAAGTCGTGCTGTGGGCAAAGCGCAGGTACAATTCCCTCACTTACACCGTCACGACCGTATACGGGGATGCAAGCTTCACTCTCCAACGGGAACGTAGGGCACAAACGAAAAGGGGATTGACGAGTACCGCGAAACACGTCCGACTCGTACTACTGCAACAAATCGCCTCATCCTGTTGTTGTTGTGGATGGGTGGTGGACGTACGGAAAGAGGCAATCTCATGGCCAGCAACTTGACTTCGGTCCTGACAGTGGAGGTGGCCCTCTCTCTCTCTCTCTGCCGTTGCCCACCGTGGTGGTCCGGCACGGCACTCACAGACGCTGACGCTGTGGCATCGGAGAGCATCCCGCGTGCATCCTGTGGTCGGCCGGGATCAGGGTACAGATGGTGGATTTGCCCTGGGAATGCCTTTTAAGGGTCTCCACGGGCGCCGCTGGGATGCAGCCATTATTGACGGTCACGTTTGCCCAAGGGAGAAAATTCGGTGTCGATCATGAGGTCATTGTCGATGGGAGAGGATGAAATTGCTGGAGGGGAGAAAACTCTTCGATGGACCCTTCCATGCCGTGGGTCTTGCGGGGGCACACGGGGGGCCGGGCAGCAGTGTGTTGTGCGGTGTTTGGGGGCACAAAAGTGAGATGGCAGATTGGTCCCTGACTCCGATGCCATGATCAAGGTTGGAACGAACAAGGTTTGCACTGGGCTTGGGTATTGAGAAAGGGCGGGAAGAGAGGGGAATTTGGGGGGGCAGAAAGCGACGATGATCATTTCTCGACGAGGTAGGTTTCTCGATGGGTGGAAATCATTCAATGGAACCCTTGATCGCGGCCCCCCCTGAGAAAATCATTGGAATTATATATATTTATAGAGGGCTGAGCCACGATGGAGGCAACTTGGGGAAGTATTGGAGGGGAGGCACTGACGTTATTCGCGTACGATTCTTGCAGATATCAGACATGGGGAGAGGTAAGATTGGCGTGTCTAGATACATGAAGCAGAAGGCAGGAAAAGGGGCTTTGGTTACAGGATATGTTTGGTGGGTGGGAAGAGACAGGCGTGAATAGCAACTAACACGCCCCCCGGTGCCCCGAGACGCATGTCCGACGTCGAGGATTCAGCACTCCTCAGAGAGAACGTCGGCAGTAGGCAAGGAGGGCCGTGAAGCCCGGTGCTCCTAGCCTCCGGTCGGTCGACCGCGGGACTTTGCCACGCGTTGATCTCTCGTGTTCGGCCGGAATACCGGGGCGGGGGGGAGGGGGCACTTTCTCACCACGAAGCAACCGCCGGGAGAGGGGTCCCCTTTTTTCACGATAATGGATACACGGAGGTGCTTATTGGGCGGGGCGGGGGGGTTGTCGTTTGTTGCTTTGTCGATGAAGCTTGATTCGGGGGCCGGGCTTGCGGCGGCGGCGGTTCCTCTTCGACTAGCATTGCTGGGTGGTATTTTCCTTTCTGTTCCCTCATTCCTTCTTCACCTCCTCTTGCCCACCGCATGCGATGCAACCCTTCAGGTGAACCTGTCAGTTGGAATGCATGGACTCTGGAGTGGGAAAAAAACGGTTCAGAATGCAGATCTTCCAAGATTCCCATGGCGCCAGAGACCCTGAAGTTGGCAGTTGGAGGGGGGAATTATGCTCGTTTGAGGAGGTACATGGAGGGCTCGGATGAAGCTATACGAACTTGACAAGTCGAAAGCAAGGTCATTCTCGAGTCGGAGCTCCGGGTTGGTGGGTGAGTGGTGGTTCGGTGAGTCGAGTGCCGAATGCAGGTACGGAGGACGGGGGGCCACGGTTGTTGTCCTGCGGCGGCGCTGCGGATACCCTGCTGCGTACGGATACCACCACTTTGACTGGAGTGGAATATTGTTGCATTCCCTTTTACGGCTCGAAAACCATTCTGATATTGGACTTTTGAAGGGGGGGAGGGGGGTCTGTCCGGGAGTGGTGATACACTCGGGGGCCCGGGGGGTTGGTGGTTTGAGTCGGGCCTTGGAGGCGGCGAAAAACTTTGAAGGCATTCACGAGCTATTGGGATATTTCTCTCCATCGCGACGACGATCAGATGCACGAAGGGTAGCATGTAAGACGGGGAATGAACGGTGGCCGTCCCCTCTCCCCCTTCTACTTCTCCCCTTCTCCTCGTCTCGAAGCCCTTGACCGAGATTCCATGTCCAAGATGATGCTCGAGTTGAGGAGATTTTCGGTGGATATTGGACTCGATGGGGAGTCTGATACCGAGATACCGTCGGTACATAGATGTTCAGGTATCCTTTCATTCTACCAGACCCCAATTCCCATTTTCATTTTCACCCCCCCTTCCCATACCCACTCTTACAGTCCTACTTGCCGAGTTATGAGGTTGGTGATATTAGAGAGAGAGATGAATCGACGATCCCAAGAGCGGACGTTGAGCTCCCCACCCCATATCCCATTCCCTCACTTCTAATCCTGCTCCGACTCCCATGTAGCCTCGTTCTCCTTCCTCTTCCAGGCTCCGCCCCCCCCCCCCCCTTTGGAATCACCTCGGACCATGAACCCACGGACGAGGGCCTTTGCCTGCGAGGAGAATTAATCCCTGGCAGGACCCTGAGATGGCCTGAGATGAGGGGTTCTTGAAGATCTGCAGCAACAGTAGCAGTGGGACAGTACGGAGTAGTAGTAGCCGCAGCAGCAACAGTAACGGCGGATAACGGCGGCGAGCGGGCGGGTGGTTGGGCGGGTGAGATAGAGGCGAGGGTAATATTAAAGTGTTCAATATTGGAAGTTGAGTTTGAGGGGGCTCCGGTCAACCGTCGGGGGATCATGGATGAAGTGTCAGGGAAGGCTCAGGGGACGGTTCTTTCTTTGGCGGGAATGAGGCGGTCGGGGTGAAGTTGATTCACAGCCTCCTTGGGATGGGGAATGGGCTGAGGAGAGATGGGAGGGGAAGGGGGGGGGGGGGCGTAGATTGGGTAGGTAGATGTAAGTGAAGGTTTTCTTTTTGGTCTCGTGATGGCTTCATGGGACGAGACGCAGTCACGGGATACGAGGTGGACGTACGCAGTACTGCGTAAGGTATGTACGCTCGGGTTGCTGCGGGCCTGCGGGCTTTGCGGCTCTACTACTGCGCGTCGTCTGCGGGGTGGGAATTAGGACCGCGTGACTGGTTGAGTTTCCTCCTTTGAGCTCTGAGGGGGTTTGCTCGAGGATTTGTTTTACTTGCTGCTGCTGTTTTGTTGTAGAGACATATGCAGCTGCCTGTTTGGCGCCTTCTTGGTGTATAAGTAGGTGCTTGAAGTTGAAGTTGACGTTGACATGAGATTGGCTTCTGGAGGACTTGAGCTGGGAGTGAAAGTCGGGTTCCTATTCTACTCCTCGTTGCCGTGGCCGGTCTGAAATCAGTGCGAATGAGGGAAAGGCTGAAGGGACGAAGGTGTGTGGAAACTTGGTGAGTGATATGCAGTGGTGCATGAGATTGAGGTAAGAGCCTTTTGATGTCTTCAGCTGGTGTTTGATCTGAACCAGGAGCCTCAAAGGCGCGATTGCTGTCACTGTCACTGTTATTCGATTTTGTTGCAATGGCTAGGATGTACAGCATTACAGAACTATGATGGGGGTATGGAACCGTGTTAATGAGATCGTTTTGCAGGTGCGAGATGCTGATCTATCTGAGGTATCTGGCAGTGTTTAATCTGTGGTAAGAGACGAATGTCACGACTTCACTCGAGATCGTGTCCAAGGTAAAATGCAGACGCCGCCGCAGCCTCTCATTCCTCCCATGTGCTCGAGCCTTGTTTCCTCCTAGCAGTAGTTTCCCCCTTCCTTCCCTCTCACCACTGAAGCAGGCGTGTTTGAAGGGGTGAGGCTCGAGTCAAGGAGATGAGAGCTTGTGATGGCGGCTGGGTTAGACATGTGCGTGGATGATTGGTCGCAATCCGGTCCTGGCGTTGCGAGGCTGCTTTGCTGTCTGCGGCGGTCCGGACACGGGCTTTGGGGTTTGTAGATGGGAGCGTGTCTTCCTAACCCTACCTGCCACCTACCTTGGTTGGCCAAGTGAGTACAAGGACGATGACTGCTTTGTCTTAGTGGGGCTTTGGAATAGCTTGTCTAATTTTTTTTGTGTTTTCTCTGATGTCAAACAAGACATTATCGAGAGCTCTTCGTTTTTCTCGAGCGGTTGCTAAAAGCCAGAGGTGCAAGGCCCCCTTTGTTTCTGGTGAACCTTAGGTAAGGTAAGGTTGCATCTGAGCGGAGAGATGTCTTATCGCAGCTCTTATCTGACTCTGAAGTATGTTTCTGACAGTTGTTCTCGAAGGAGAAAGGACGGTCGGTGCGTTATCAGAGACTTTTAGGCAGTGCGACTGCTTATCGGAGACAGCCAAGATAGGTGTGATATAGCGGTCTTGTGACCCATCACGTCATATTTGGCACTGTACCATCAAGTACCTGCTGATTCAATACTGCCCCCCAAAGGCACACGCTCAACTTAGCTACAGCTATTGGCTGCTTGGCGCTGTGCCTCCGGTGTCATCCTCCCGCTCCCCTCGTCAGATTGCGCGGGTTTAGCGCTCTCTGTGCGGCGTCACCACTTGCCTTCCCGCTCCGATGCATGGAGCTCTGTCTGCAGTGCTGCTGGCGGCTGCTGCTGTTGCTTTGATTGCTGCTTGCTGCTTGCTGATGCTGCTGTTCGTAGCCTTTTGGGTGCCGTGCATGACATTTTTACGTACCATTCTGGGGCGTATGGTTTCGTCTTCGGTTCATCTCTCATTTCGTCCTCTTTTTTATCCACCGCCATTTCCAAACTCTTTGTCTATTTACTTTTTTGTGTGCTGGGGGAGAAAGAAAGAGAGGGAAAACATCACCCCAAATCGAACGAGCCTTCTTCTCTACTCCGTACCGCGATCTGGGTTGCGCCTTTTCTGTCTTTCTCGGTGCTCGTCTTGCCGGTTCGCCATCCATCTCCGATACGGCAACGTCCATAGTATTTCATATCCAGACTACCTCACCTCCTCACGGCACCCGTTGTCGCCCTCCAACAGTGGATATTCCCAATAGGCCAGGCGAGGTAAAGGGTCTGATTTCCTTCTGCGGGATCTCATCATCGCATAGCATACGTATCTGAACGCTGCGGCGCGCTGCGCACGAGTCGGACGACTGAAACGAAACGGACACGCGCGCTCACGCCTTTGGAACCACCTCGCCTACGGAATACCTTGGCTGTCCAAACAAACGTACCCGCAATAACGGCCATCTCTCTCCTTCGACCCGGAGTCGAGCATCCAAAACCCAAACCTTACTCTGTCATCATCATCATCATTTCTAACTCACACCTCTGGATCTCTACTGCAACCGCCAAACCTCGTGGGTCTGCTACCTCACGTCGTTACGTACTGTGTAGTGTGGGTGTGCTTGTCTGTCACTGTTCGGTTTCTCTTTTTTGGCCGTTCCCATCTCGGCTTCGCAACCCCGCCAGCCGTTCTCGGCACCCCACCTTATCGCAGCCAAAGGCCGCTATTTTTCGCCTGGGCGATTTCTTGGTTGAACAGTACCTTTCACCCAGTACCTTGCCTTGCCTTACGCTGTACCTACGCAGTAGTAGGAGAGAAGCCAGGCCGCCAAGCAGCGAATCAACCCAAAGGCGGAAGAAAGGGAAGCGTCGTCATCGGTTCCTCAAACTCTCTCTCGCTACTCCGAAAACCCACCGACCGGCCGCGGGCTCGTTTGAACCTCTCGCCTACCCTCCACAACCAAACCAACCAACGAACCCCTTGTTCTACGGATCTCGAGACTGCAACCATGGCTGCTGCAGCTGCGCATGATACGCCTGAGGAGCCTCAGAGCGATGGCTCCAAGCTCAAGACCTTTATTGGTATCCTGAAGAAGTGAGTCTATCTCGTGATGGATGACGTCGTTTGATGGTTTGGGCTTGCATGCGCAGTGCCTCTGGGAAGCAGGAGGCGAGTTTCTCTGCTTCGCGGGCGGGGATGCGTTGGCTGATGGGCGACGATCCTTGGAGGGGTAAACCTGCCATCGTCACCTCATCAGACCTGCAAAACTCCAAAACCAGACAGGCGTGAATCATCAGGAAAGCGGAATTCGTGCTGACTGGCCTCCTTCTTTTAGGTTTATCGGTGTCGCCGACCTTGCTGCCGTCCGCTTCTCTCTGCCATCCCAACTCCTCGAGCCGACGCCGAACCTCGAATACTGGAACTATCTCGATGCGCCCAACGCCTTCGTTGCCATCGGTACCGCGGACGAACCCCTCGACCGCATGCTCGAGGTCTGCCGGTTCTGGTTCACAAAAGATCTGAAGTACGTCAAGGGAAAGCCTTGCAAACCATACAACTCGTGTTTGGGAGAGTTCTTTAGGGTGAGTGCCGCCGGTCCTTTCTTTGCGCACTATGCGCCTGTCATACTTTAGGACGCTAATGGAGGACGTGATTAGTGTAATTGGGAAACCGAAGATAATGCCCCCAAGATCAACACGACAGCCCTCGGCAGCGGCGCGGGTAGCAGCTCGTCAAGCTTCAAGTCGGCCAAGGCAGACAAGAACGCCTCGGCCGTCTCCTTATCCGTCCCGCAACACGGCAGCACGACACCCGACAGCAAACCCCTCCGTATCTCATACCTGACCGAGCAGACCTCCCACCACCCGCCCGTAAGCGCATTCCACATCAGCTGTCCCGAGCGGGGCCTCTCTGCCCGCGGCTTCGACCAGATCACGGCAAAGTTCACGGGTACTAGTGTGCGCGTGTTGCCTGGCGAGCACAACCTCGGTATTTTTGTCACGCTCGAGAAGCGCGGCGGCGAGACATATCGCCTCACTCACCCCGCGGCGCATCTCGGTGGCATCCTCAGGGGAAGCTTGAGCGTCAGCGTCAGTGAGATGGCGTACATTACGTGCCCGCAGACCAAGCTTAAGACGATCCTGCACTACATTGAGGCTGGGTGGCTCGGCCGCTCTACGAACCGCGTCGAGGGCATTATCTTCAAGTACGACCCCGAGAACGATGACAAAGTCAACATCAAGGACGTCCCGGAGGCCGACATTGTCGCCCGTCTGAGCGGTCCGTGGCGCGAGAAGATTGAGTTTACCCTCGGCCCCAAGCCAGTGGTAAGTAACCCCTTCATGTCCTCCTTCATCCCCCTTCTGCCGCATGAATACTCACATGAATATGGCAGAACTCTCACCCCGCCGAAGCCCGCTACACAATCATCGATCTCGCACCCCTCAATGTAGCGCCCAAGGTGCTGCCCCCGAAGGAGAAGCAACTCGAGAACGAGTCCCTGACGATGTGGGGTGGCGTCACCGAAGCCATCCACGCAAAGCAGTTCTCCAAGGCGACGCAGGTCAAGGTCGAGCTCGAGGAGCGGCAGCGAGAGCTGGCGCGTGAGCGCGAGCGCACGGGCGAGATCTTTAAGCCCGCCTTCTTCGAGCAGGTGACGGACACGGGTGGCAAGCCCGAGTTGACGGATAAGGGTAGAGAGGTGCTCGCGAGAGCGCAGAAGGGGGAGTGGGACATGAGCGATATCGTTGTTGTAGACGCTTCAGCTCCGGCTGCGGCTGCGGCTACGGCCCCTGCGGCTACGGAGAGCAAGTAAATGGTTCGATGTTATTGGCGGGAGAAAGAAATTAATTGGATTAGAAAGGCATACTGAGCACCTGGGAAAGCTGCGTCGGTCCCGTTCCTTGTTTTGTTTCTTTCTTGGAACTCCTCTCTCCTTCTCGTTTTCCGGATTATTTGGATCTGTTTGGCCCTACTGACCCTTTCCTGAGGGATGCATCGCTCGCTTTTTGGAAGGGGTTTTCCTACTCTGGTTGTTTACCTGTTTCATGATCCCTCTCGCTTGAAGAATTCTCGCATTAACGATGAGGGGTTGGAGGTTTTTTTTGTGTTGCATGGTGTGCAGATGAGGAGAGGAGGAGGAGGAGGAGGAGGAGGAGGAGCAGGAGAAGGAGACTATTTTGCATTGTTCGCTCTTGGGTGTGGAACATTGCGACACATACATTCATATACATTCACACACACAGAGAGACTCACATAGGCCTTTTTCTTGGAAGGCGGCGTTGGGATTTTAGATTGTTTTTATGTTTTATTGGTTTAGTCTTTTTATAGTAATACATTTCATCAACACTTTATCTCGTGTGATTGTACTTGGGGCTTAGATGATCAACGTGAGGATACATATCATAGGCATATAGTAAGTACTAGGTGTCAGATTGTGAGAAACTTGAGTTTGCTTGGCTTTTATATTGATCTGAACAGGAGGGGCGAAAGCTAGGTTTCTGTGGAGCCTGCTGTCTCGTAACGAGATGACATTGCAAGGTAAACTCTGTCTCAATATTTCACTTGGAGGAGTGGGGAAGAAACGCTTGACAATGCGATGTTGGGACGGCATTCGCTTTCGGATGGCGGAGCGAACGCGCTGCGTGCTGCGGTTGCGTGCTGCCCGGCCCCGTGCGGTTCGGCCCCGCTTTCGGGAGGGGGAAATCGGGGATTTTGTGGACGTCCGGCTTTTTTCTTGGTGGCCGGATTGGAGTTGGCTGTAACCTTCTCGACTCACGTACCTCCTCATGTAGTGCTGTTTTATCGCGAGAATTGGGTATGTTACAGGACAGGTATAATGCTATGGGCCAGGAGGACATACATTCTCGGTGAATATGATGTGCGGGGTGCAGGTGTCGTTATGTACGGTTCACTGGGCTCATACTATTACCCTGGTCGACGTTGTCATGGCGCATGGAATGGGAAGGCTGAAGAGGCTGGGAAGGAATCATTCCATTCTACTCTGCGATGTTTGGTGGAGAGGATGATGTTTTGTATCTCGTATACGATGAGACTGATCCCATCCACTCCTAGGTACCTTGAACTGACGAGTAGTCTACCCCGGGTTTGGTAACTAGTTACACGAGATCTCAGAATTTGTTGTCTTTGAGCTGGATGGTATCGATGTCTGGTTAGAGCAAGAGACCAACTCCTTTGCCAGCACAAGGGCCTCCTCAGCCAGTGTCTCAAAAGCTTCAACGTCTAAATCCTTGCATCCGGTACGGCGACTATGAGACGGCGCATTGGCATCAACAATGTCTTATTGAATATCATAGACAATGATCTAGAAGAAATGTCTTTGTCGGTTGATTAACGAGTACTTTATCGACCTGATTCTTCAAAGCAGGGATAACAATCACTGTGTTTAGAGGGTCACAAAGACCAAGCTCACGGAACCGAGGTTGAAAGGGGCTTGAGGATGAAGTGATAGATAAATTCAGGATAGATTTCCAACAACTGACAGACCACACATCTCTACAAGATCAACCGCTTCTCGTAGATAGCATCAATCAGTTTTCGTTTCACGTCCCATTCCTTAGTACCGGTTCTTGTTCGTCAGGACTAGCTTCCAACCTACTTCACTTTTGCATCAGTTTCACCTTCACCTTTGACTTAACCTACAGAACTCGATTTTTCTACCACAACTTCACATTCACTCTTACAGCCTGCCTGTATTCTCTGTAGCACCAAACTCAAAGCAATCACAGCCACGCCTCTCTCTCTCCAGTCTAAGTTCCACTCCTACTTTCTCTTACCAATAGCTATCAATCCCAATCAACTCCTCACCCAAACCATGACTGATCAATCCCAGAAGAACCAGGCACCGGCCGCCCTCAACGAATCAAACGATTCAAGAGGCGTTGTTCCCCTCGAACTCTTCCTCGAAATCGCAGACCGCTACGTCGAATCCGCCTACGCCCAAGCCGCAGCCGAAGTCTCGACATGGCACGTCGAAGGCTGCCCAGACGCCATCGACTCAATCTACATCAGCGACAACCACGCCTACGACTATGCCTCCCAGGCGAAGCGCTGGCGCCTTGTCAGCACCCTCGCCAACCTCCGCAGCAGGCGCGTCTCGGACATCGTCGACAAGACGTTTTGCAAGTTCCCTCGGCACCACCACGTGCCCCGTCACCACCGCACCCCGGCAAACGCCACAGAATGGTCTACAACGGGGCAGAGGAGCAGCGGCATCGTCAACCCGCCTAGACACGCCTGGGTCCTCCCCGACATCGACGTCTTCGTCCTCGACTTCAAAGCCGCGGACCGGCATAACAACGCAGACGGCGAGAACCCGGAACCCCTCGAGACCGCGATCCTCCAAACTTCACAGGAAGCCACGAGAGGACCGCTCCGCATGATCCGCAGCGTCAGCAGCAGCTTGAGAAACCTAATGACCGCTAGCGGAAAGCAGATCCGCGCGCTCGCGGCCTTGCCGGAGTTGAGGTGCGTGCAGGCGTGGTGCGCGATCCGGAGCCCCGTGCAGCCCGCCGACGAGCCGCTGCACGACCACACGGCGGTTTTGCCTGTTGATCCGGCGATCTTGCCTGACCTTGCTGCGGAGTTGGCGCTGAGCGATACGCGGCTTTTGCTGTTGTGGGAGCCGTTGTTTGATGCTGGTGTGGAGATTACGGTTCGGCCGAGGTATGCTTTGCGTGGGGAGATTGAGCTCGTTCGTACGGATGAGGGTTTGCGGATGAGGTTTCTTGAGGAGGAGTGTAGGTGCTATCGGATTGAGCTGGAATAAGGTGGTGAATGGAAGCGTGGTTTGTGAGTGTCAGCGTAAGTTCTTTGGAGTTGGCGGAAGTGTACTCTTTGACTCCAGGCTGGGTACTCGATTTTTAAACTTGATGATATACATGGTAGGTGGGAAGAACCGAGCGGGGGAGACTAGACTATGATATTTTTGGATACCCCGATTTGAATCAAGTCGCTTGCGAAAGTTCCTGCTTTCAAGGCGTCTTGGTGTCTTTTCCAATCCATGTCTGGCATCAAATGGAGCAAAGTGGATAAACACACGAGGCAGTGTTATTTATACACTACAGAATTGAGGAGTGTACATAGTGCCACTCGTCGAACATGTCCCTACCTATGGTAAAAATGCTAGATGAATAACGTGGCATTGGACAGCGATTAGAGACCAGGTACTCTTTGCATAGCGATGTAACTGCACCTCATAGTATTCTAGGTGGAGATCACGGAAATCTCGGTCACAGTCGGTTTGGGTCTATATCGAATTATCAGCTGGAGGTCATCAGGGTGTCGAGAAGTATGCTTCCTCCTCTACCTGTTCCCGCTCGAAGCTAAAATTCTCTGTACCAGAAGAATCCCAAGAGATACTTTACTTAGCCCAAACTAAGAGTGACCTGCTCGAGAAGGTTGTAGACGCCACGACCTCTACGCATACATAGTTATGTAGAAGAAAGAAGGAAGCCTCTCTGTCTACCACCACTACAGCAGCTGACCTCGTCTCTTCTCCATCATATCGCAGCATTGACACCTTCGGTACAAGCAGTACTGATCCTGGCTATACGATGTCGACTAAATCCTACGCCACATTGCTCTTCGCTTTCGTCATCTTCTATGACAACCTTGAAAGACCAACACCAACCCGCAGCTTGAGTCCCACTCCACAATTGGATACTATGCGCTGGTCCACCAAGCTTCACAATACCTTCGAACGCATTAAATTTGGTATCAGAGGCACCACTCTCCCCAGCGGCATGCTTCCGTACGAAATATGGCTCTTAATCGTCGATGCCGTGGTTGACGACTTGGAATCGACAGTCGAGCCATTAACATGGGTATTGACCGGATATGAGTCCGAAAAGGTGACCGATGAGAATCGTGGTCTGATGCTCGATCAAAGCAAACCCCCCTGGTTTTACGGAATCGAGCACTTCTTGATTGACGACGCCAGAAACTGGGAAAAGAGCAAAATCAAGCACCGGCAAGATGCCATGGAAGTCCTGTATAACTTTACACTGGTCGACCGCAGAACTCGAGAGATTATCAACAGACGACTACCACGATGTACCTTTCTCCATAGGAATTGGTTCGAGCGCGGTAGGCCACTGGAGAAGCCTTCGACCTCAATACGAATCGTCCCGAGCATTGATCAGTTTCCTTACTTTGTCAGACGTCCTGCTCCGCATTCTCACATGAAGCGTTACAGGGCTCTTTTCAGTCCTTGGGAATACCACGGCTGCGTGGAACCTTTCTCTCATATTCAGACGATACTGCTTTCGGCGATTCTGCTCAGGCCCGGCTGGGTTTACCATCTCAAACACCACTTCCAGTACTTGCAGAAAATGCCTAGTTTGAGGAGTGTAGAGTTCAGAGCAAAACGACCGTACAGGGAAGCGGACGAAATTACTTACTATACAGTAGAGGGCAGTCTTCTCACTTTTCTGCCTGGGGATGAGAATTTGGACATGGACGAGATTATTTCGATGTGGAGGTCGCTCAAAGACAGAGGGGTCAGGTTCACTGCGAGCCATTCCAAGGCTTTGGTCGAGTTTACCTGAAAAACACCTTTAGACGTTTCCACGAGGTCCTCTTCGCAGAATGCGAGCTGAAGTCGTTGAAAAAGAAAGGCTTTGGATATGACAATGACGGAACTCAGGTATTTATTCATGTGAAGAAGACATAGCCAGAAAGGTGTACAGCCCGTGCTAACAGCCAACGCAGCGTTTGTTTTTCCCTGAGTCTTGACACTCTGGGCGATAATTGGAGCTTTCTATGGGGTGTTCGGCGCTAGATAAGTCAGCTTGGCTAAGAATCCATAGGGACAGGCTGCACAATAGTGAGGCGCAATTCCTCGAGTTGCTAATGATATTCGAAGCTGCGTTAGCAGTATGGCATTCGATATGTTTGAAGTGTGCTGTATATAGACGCCCTTCCAAGGATCGCAGCCGACGGGTTTCGACAAACTGGATCTCGACCAACGGCGTATGGCCTATGTCAGACCCGGACATACGGATTACTCCGTAGGCAGAGAAAAGAAGACATCGGTCCAGTGAAATGATCTGTAGATTAATAAACTCATTGATACGAGATCTGGGCGAAGCGACTCGACTCAGCCGCACTTGATGGGTACCGCCGCCTTGCAAAATCACCAGGGATAGCGGCAGGTACCTGGGTTCCCTTCTCGCTCTCGCGCGGCTGATTCAGCGTTTACGCGTCTCCTCGCCACTTCGCTTACTGAACTCTGATATGAATGCAAGATTGTGATGTCCTGTGAGCCTGTGAGGTGAATGGCGGTGGAGTTATGCCTGACTCGCCGGGTCTATGAAGGTCCGAGGTACGGGACAATCAGGAGCGGAACTATGTATTGGCTTGAAAGCCGTAGAATTCTCATGAACATACGCAAGGACAAGAAAGAGCCTAAACTAAGACCTAAATCCATGCAAAGAGGTTCCCATAGGATCAGTCAGCAATCCTACTCGTACTACGTTAAAGGTGCTTAGGCAGGCGACGGTACTTTCTGCATTGGCCAATTGGTCGGTCAACCGGGTTCATCGGGGGAAAGCAGTCGAAGCGATGGGGGACTGTGCGGATTGCAACAGGAAATCGTGACAGAGAAATGGAGAATTGTCGAAGCGAACTTAGCGAAGAAGGCAGAGAGGGGCAAAGTGATACCTTGGCTCAACTCTGTACCGGCGGGATGTAACCGGGGCGAGTTCAACCATGTTGATTTCGCAATCTCGGAGGCCCACCTGGAAGATACCTTAGAGGGCGGCATATAGGCCCCCAACTGACATGGTGTAACTCGACTGAGAGATTTTCTGTCTAGCAAACTTATGCAACGCACAGAGTAGTTTGCGGTGCCGCGGTGCTTACCAGTCAACTCTAAACAGCTCATGACGAAAGTAATTGAGAGATTTGTCGAAGGTGGTCTGAGATGTACACGTGGTAGGAGAGACATCAGACGAACTAGTGTAGGGAAAGGTCTGGGCCAACATTTTTTGCATGACACGAACCACATCCATTTTCTCACAGTCACCAGTACCAAGACACCGGATCCAACGGCGCGGGAATGTGGGAACTCCCAGCCCCGGCCCGTGTAAGCTTTGGGTGCCCAGCTTGGCCAAGGGCAAGCCTCGGCGCCTGCCAAAGACCATCGATCGGGCGGGATTGGCTCGAACCAAAGGGGCGGGAGGAGAGGGAGGGAAGGGAAGCAAGGAGCTTAAAGCAAAAAAGAGGCTCAAGGCGCCTCGAACGTGTTCGATGATGATCAATGTGAGTCTATATTAGTTTAGTAGTGGCAAAGATCGATTGTTTGTGGTGCTTCTGGCGATGTTCCAGAGCGAAACGCCCCGACAAAGACTTTGTGTGTTGTTTTTACCCCTGAGTGAAGGCTTGCAGCCGAAGCTAGAGTTTGAAGTTGTTTAATGAGGCAACGAAAAAGCATTGTGCAATGTTTGATTGGCTATACCCCGCACCAGACTGCCACTTGAGTTCTCGCCCAGGAGTTGGGCTTTGCCATCCATGACGCCTTTTTATCCCACTTGACGGGATGATCGAAGCATAATAAACAATGTCCGTTCGGCTGCAACTTCATTAATTAGACGAGAAGAGAGTGTCAGAGAAAGAAATGACAGGTGGGGTACTCCGACCTAGGCGAACACAACTAAATAGGGTTTATCGTACTCAGTACACTATGGATAGCTCCTCTGAGTACCTTATTATCAAAGAAAGTTAATTCTTTCTAAGTTATAAGTATAAGAATACAGTTTTAATAAAATAGTATAGTACCTACCTAGTACTTAAATTAAAATACTTTTTTAAGCTTATTATAAAAAAAAGATAATTATATTACTAATTACTTATTATTAAGGTCCGTAAGTAATACTATAACTTTAATTATAACGTAAATAATAAGCGAGCGCGCTAGATAAGCGAGCGCGCTACCTAACTACGATTATATCGCAAATCTAAGATTTATTAACGTTAATAATACTAAATTAATTAAGCTTACTTAGAATCCTCTTCCCTAAATATCTCTTTATTAAACTAATACGTTCGCGCATTATATCCTATATTTCTATAAATACTATACCGTCGTTAACCTAATTTAATCTTTTATTTATAACTGCTACTCTAACGTATTTCTTTATAAACCTATATTATTATATCCTTTTATAACTAAATATCCCTAGTATTAGTTATAATAAGACTTCCTCCTTATTAAAAACGGGTTTTCTTAGCTCTCTAACGTTAGCTAAGTAGGTTATTTTCCTCCTAAAGGATCTTATTTTCTACTTTTAAAAAAGCGTTCTTATATATTATTTTTAAAGTTCCTTTAAAAATCTAGTTTATAGAGTTATAAATAAGTGTTAGTAAACTATTTTAATATTAAGAGATTTAATCCTTAATAAGAGTTAACTAAGAAGTTACTTTAGTTAGGTTATTTAGTATTTTAAAAACCTAAAGTAGTAGTATTATAAGCTACGATCCGGGGGGCGTTAGAGTATATAACTTAATATCTAATTTTAATAATACACTTTCTATACTTAGAGGGACAAGCCTAGACCCTCTAAATCCTCCCTAAATATTTTTTTCTATAATTACCTATATAAAAGCCCTATAAAATGTAAAAAAGAAGTCTTTTTTTATAATATAAGTATTACCCCGTTATATCTTCTCCTTAATTTCTTAACTATATACTTTCTTAAGAAGCTTAAAATACTTAATATTTAAGAACTAAAGTAAATATAATAAATAAGGTAGTATATAAAGCGTAATAATCTTATTTTCCTTATAATAGAGCTCGAAATTTATTAAATAATAACTTTTATACTTATTAATAATAAAGAGGTAATACTAACCCCTTAAACGCGGTTTTATATACTAATCAAAATACTAAACCTAATCTAAACCTCTTTTATTTATTATTTATCCGTTTTTAAACATTACGATAACCTAGTTATATAAAAGACCGGATTTTATATACTAAATAAAGAGGTAATATTAGCTTATAATAATAATATATAGTAGAACGCTAAAGCTTAACGAATTAATAGCTTAAATAACTATAACCTATTCCCTATTACTAAGCTATACTATTTTTATATTTAAACACCTCTCGGTATTTATTATAACTATTCTAAATATAATCTAGCTTATTATAAAGCTAGTCTTGTTAAAGTTATATATATTAAATATATTAATACTATATTTAGTAATTATATATTTTATAAAATTAAACTAATTATAAATAACTTCTTAATCTTCGTATTAAGCCCTCTTATAATTATATTTATAAAAAAAACTCGTCTAAAGTTATAATTATCGCTTTACGAAGTTCGAAGCTTAGCGCTTCTTAACTAGAGACGCGTCGTAGTTAGCAAATAGTTAGTTAGCTATTTTTTTAATATTAATAATCCGGGGGGGAAATAATTAAGTATTTAGGTTTAGAATATACTTAACTAGCTTCTTCTCTTTGAGATTTATTAAATTCCATAAGTTTAGTATAGTATTGCGTTATAATAATATTCTTTTAATTCGACGTATTATAATATCGTAACTAACTTTATATATCTTAGTTATATTACGAATACTAAGTCTTAGGTCTTTTTAAAAAGCTTAGATAGCTAGCTATACCTAACTTTTATTATTACTAAATTATATTATAGTTAATAAAGAAATAGAAAGAAAAGGTCGGATAGTCGTATTAGACTATTTAAGTAGTGCGCTCGCTTATCTAGTGCGCTCGCTTATCATTCATATTAATAGCTTTACTTATAATAAATAAAAAGTTTAATTATAAGTCTTTTAAAAGCCTCTAATTAAGAGCTATAAGAGCTTCTAAATATACTAAGTTAAAATACTTACTAAGATATTAATAACTAAACTAATTTTATAATAACGACTTTAATAAAAAACTTAATAAATAATATTAAAAGCTTTATTAACGTTAAGTACGATTTACGAAGTATAATAATACGGTTATAGAGTATTATTAATATATTTTATATTAAAAAGGGTATTATTAATATTAATAAAATAAATAGGGCCGTATTAATATAGTACCTCGGCTTTTTTTTATAGCTCGAGGATAATTATTTTAAATAATATTAAAAGTCTATTAAAAAGCTCTTTTAAATACTCTAATATATTTATTATTATTTTTATAATAATAAAACTTTTAATACTTATATATAAAAATAAGTTACTTATTTCTAAATAATAATATTAGCTTATTAATAAGCTATTGAAATTACGATTTTAATAATCCCTTAATAAGGGAGAGAGTAGAATAGAAGAAAGGATAGGTAACTTATAAAAAGGGTTAAGGTTAAATAGTGTAGAATTCGAGGGTAGAGTAGCGTCTATATATACTACGGTAATCCTCTAGTAATACAAAACGATAGAGTTAAACAGTGATAGATAGCTCCTCTTTCGCTTTCTTCTGTTCTGTTCCCCTCGGACACCGATACAATAGCAAATTAAATGGGCCTGTAAAGAAGACAATTAGAGAGTACCACGGTAAGGAAGACTCTCAGACTTGTTCATTGCAAAGAAAGGGTGAAATGTTGACAAAGAGATTGAGACACCTAGGGAGTCGAAGAGTCGAGAACTGGTCATCATCCCTGAGCAGAGTTGGTTCTGGACCGCTGCCTGGACCACACGCTCGGCCCCACATGGGGTCCCTTCCATTTACCGGCAGCAGCTAAATCCACTGATGTGACATAATCTGGTAGGGCTACGTCCCAGAGAAATCCTTGGAGATCCTGGTGTGGTGGTGTGAGACATGTCGACAGGGGCAAGTTTGTTGCTGCCCGGTCGAATTTAAACCACTCATCTGGGGTCGTTTCCAATGTCAGCGTATCCACTAGAACAATGGGCACCGTTGTGTGATCCAACTTCCGCGCTTCCGCGGCTTCTGCAGAAGAAGGGGGGAGGAAACTTGAGAAGCTGTTGGAACTTGGAAAGACTTTTTGACAATGTTGTTGGTGTGGGGGACGCTTCAGCACACTAGATCCTAATCCCTTCCAACTTCTAGGCTCCCCCCCGAATCCCCTGGTCCTGTCAGGATGCAAAGGAGATTCGATCATTCGTAAGTGCTGTGGTGCTCTCTAAAGGGCCGGGTGTGTGAGACACCACGTCTTCTAGTTTAATATCTCTGATGTGGAGGCTTGCATACGGGAGATCATCACTCGTCTCAAGTTGAATACCGCCAGCGGCAAAATATCCCGACATCAGCAGGACCGGGGGCAAACAACTCTAACTAAGTAAACAAGATGCAGAATATATAATATCCCAACTCTCGCGTTCCCTTCCTGTTGTTTCTCTTTTCCTCTTCACCCAAAATCGACCTTTTGCGTCTGTCACTCTTTTACACCCCAGCGGTACTCATCGACGCCTTGGCAGGTTCCATCCTCCGTTCACTCCTTCAAATCAACATCCAAGAATCCCGGTGATTTCCAAAAACCCCTTTTCAACCAAACCATCAAAATGCGTTTCTCCGCTGTCGCCGTTGCCGCTCTCGCCACCCAGGCCGCCGCCTGGAGAGGCCAAGGCCCCCCGTCCGGCTCCTACTGGGGCTGGGGTAACACCGGCGTCGAGGCCAGCAAGGCCGCCGACGACTGCTCCGGCGCCGAGGTGACCTCCACCTCCACCATCACTCTCCCCGCCGCGACCGCCCCTCCCGCCGCCACCTCCGCCGCCCCGGTCGTGACCCCCTCCGCCGCCGCCCCCGTCGAGGAGGCCGTCAGCACCACCTCCGCTGCCCCGGCCGCCACCACCGCTGCCTCCAGCGGCACCTCCGGCCTCACCTCGGACCAGCAGGCCGCCCTCGATGCCCACAACGCCGCCCGCTCCGACGTCGGCGTCCCGGCCCTCGAGTGGGATGCCACCCTCGCCGCCAACGCCCAGGAGTGGGCCACCCACCTCCTCTCCGTCGGCTCCCTGACCCACTCCCAGGTCTCTGACCAGGGCGAGAACCTGTACATGCAGTCCAACACCGACAGCCCCTACATCAACGCCGCCAACGCCTGGATTGCCGAGAAGTCTTCCTACAACGGCGAGACCATCTCCGAGTCCAACTACATGGGCTTCGGTCACTACACTCAGATCGTCTGGAAGAGCACCACCAAGGTCGGTCTGGCTGTTGCCACCAACTCCCAGGGCACCTACGTCGTCGCCCGCTACTCGCCCCCTGGCAACTAGTAAGTTTGAGTCTTGAATGGAAATAAAAGCATATGAACAAGCGACTAACAAGAGAAACAGCATCGGCGAGAAGCCCTACTAAATGTCGACAAGGACGCCGCCATTGGACGGATTTTGAAAAATGGCAAACGGGATCACGCAGCGACAACAAGGCAGGGCACCTGTTCCGGTAGCTACGTTGGCTGGGCCGAACACAACCAAAAACTCTTTTCTTTCCATTCTTGGACATTTTTTGTGTACTTGGGGTTGAGATATTTTCCCACGACTTGATGTCGGATCCATTCCAGGTCTAGGCCGATCGAGAAACGAGGAAAAGGGGGTAGATCCTGGGTCTCTTTTACAAAACCAACCGCCCTTTGGCGAATTTCTTGCATGACTATAACGAGACATAGCGTAAATGCCTCACGATGCAGCTTCAATTTCCCGCAGTGAGGTGATGTGATTCCTCAATGGCACTTGGTTGTGTACATTTTGGAGTGGTGTTGTATCATGAAGTGAGACTCGGGAACTTCTCATTATGGCCTTTACCGAGCAGCTGAGCGTTTTTTAGACTGGATACTGGTCGACATTTGGAACGAGTCGGCTTGGCATACAAAAGCCTTGTGCGAATGCCGTGTTTCGTCGCCATACGTTTACATAGCCGTCCGTTAAAGTTCTCCGGGAAGTGGAGGAACGGCAAGTGGACGGGTTACACCCACGGTCCCCCGCTCTCTGGAATAGTAACGACAAATTCTATGGGCGGAGTGTCTACTTTACCTACCCGCTAAGATTGAATCGTGGAGAGAGCAGAAATCGGGGTAACTTAAGAGAGCTTGTTGTCCTTTACTTAAGGTCTAGGGATACCTCTATTAACACTCGGTGATTTCCATTCAGGTTCTCCAGCAGAGTTTCGATGCACGAGCGGTTCCTTCTCATTTGACGTCCCTCGCGAATTACACAAATCGGGCGATAGTCTAAATCTACCTTAATCGATCATTATACGCTATAATTAAGATAAAATGGCATCTTCTGCTAACATTACTTTCGACGGTAAATCATCTCACGAGGTTTCCATCGTTCATGATGTGATACTAAAGAAGTATCCTAGACTACCTCGGGTTGAATGCATGCCTTTACGAGTGGGCAGACAGCTACGACACAAAAGACTGGAACCGCCTTCGCAAGTGCATCGCCCCTACCCTCCGCGTAAGCTCACGATCCTCCCTCCAACGACACGCAATCTAACACAACACTCACATTGAAGATCGATTACCCCTTCCTCAACAAGATCTGGGAAGCCATGCCCGCAGAAGACTACGTAGCCATGATGAGTAGCAAACCCATGCTTGGCAACCCCCTGCTCAAGACGCAACATCTCGTTGGCGCAAGCCGCTGGGAAAAGATCTCAGAGACCGAGGTTGCGGGCTATCACCAGCTCCGTGTGCCGCATCAAAAGTACACTGACGAGACTTTTAAGCAAGTCGCCGTCAAAGGTCATGGGCATAGCAGCAATAAGCATTGGTACAAAAAGGTTGACGGCGTGTGGAAGTTTGCGGGGTTGAGTCCCAAGATGCTCCTGACCGAGTATGATTTTGCGGCTATAGCTGCCGAAGGTCGTGACTCGCTTTTAGCTGGGATAGTGAAGGATGTATAATAGATGATGGCGGCGCCAAGTCTTTAGAGTACTTAGATGATTAGTTAGTTAGAACTATACCGAATTTTAGAAGGTTTCATCATGCCTGCCTTTGCATCTGCAGCTTGAGATTAGACCTGATGGTCAATGAACCATTTGAGGAAGCATTGGACTTCGCCTCCGTCGATGCTGCTGAAATCCAAGTTGATACTGGCCTAATATTGCTCGGCCTTTTCATCCAGTCCAAGGCGACTATCCTCCCTCAGTGTTATTCAATGACTGCTCATATGCGAGCCATACCGGAGCATCCTCTCTCAGATTCACGCGCATAGAGTGCGGGCCTGTGCACCTTACGTTGGTTCCGAGATGCTCTCCTCTTAGCATATTTGACGCAGCGTTAATGCTCATTCAACTACTAGTATCAGTCCGTGTACGTAGGAAGCCGCGTAAGACATCGAGATGTTGTAGGCATGCGGTTGCGGCTATTTCCGTGTCGATCAAGGTGATCTTATCCATGATCTGCACCGGGCGAAATACAGAAAGCACTACTTGCTAAAGCAGCGATGCCACCTTCTAGAAACATCCGCTAGCAAACTCATTGAGCGAGCTCAGACCATTGAGCGACGAAGACTGCCTGCAGGTAGGTGGTTGATCTGCGAGCAGAAAAAACCTACTCTTGAACTCCACGTTCCCACTCACGAGGTTAGTCGCGCCAACGCTATTCACCTAACCGACCTTGCACTACATTATGCCGATCCTGGCATCCGTTTGCAGCACTTAACACACAGGAAGCGCTTCACATCGACAACGATGGGGTCGGCTGCCGCCAGCACGGCCCTGCAAACCTTACTTAAATGCCGTATTGCCGTTGAATGACTCGAGGAAGCCTGCCGCCTGGCGATATGCCCAGGCACCGCCGTTTCCGGTGAGAAGAGATGGCTTCAACGTGGTAATACACGTGTGAGTCGCCTGTCACCGTTATGGTGCTACGTGACTAGTGCCAGTTGGTCTCAGTCGCCCAACCACACATCATGCATCTCGTCGAGTCTACAGAGCGAAGTCATATCCGAGACAGCGAACAACATTTTAAAAGGCCATTGAGCAAAGTTTCATCAAAATTAATCACTAATTACTAGAGGATATAAACAGCAAGATGTACTCAACATTAGCCAGTCCAAAGAAAAAAACAAAAGAAGTCAAAAACATACACACCCCAGCTCCTAGCTAGAAACCCCATCATCTGTAAGCTACTACTGAGCTGGCTTCCTCCCAATGGTGACTGTGTACTTGACAAAAATTCCTTCCTCCGCCGATGACGTCTCAAGGCACTCCTTTGTCAATTTCGAAACATCTTGGTCAGAGTATAAGTCCCGCTTTGTCAAAATCTTTCTGAGAAGATCTGGGAATGCCTTGAGAAGAGTTCGTTGCGCATAACAACCGACTGCTGCGCTGGGAATATTCTTCTCAGACGGCACCATCGAGAACTCAAACGATCGCGTAAGAAGCACTTCGAGCCCGGCGGCTCTCATGTGATCCCCGACATGATCACCAACTAGAATATCCAGTCCCATAGCCTGCGACTCCTCTAGAACTGCTTGGTGCCAGGACCAATTTCCGCTGAGCTTTGTCTGTGTACCTTGGCGATAGTACTCCCAGGAGCAATCCTGATGCTCGACGATGGCACCGGGATTCAAGAGGTGGTGGACGCGTGAAAAGTACTCTTTCCAGTCGTCGATCGCGAGGAACAGCATACGTCCGAACACGTAGTCCAAGCTTTGCTCCTGGAGCCCCTGCTCTGATAGGTCTTCCATGATGTTGCCTTTCAAAAAGGTGACATTGGTCGGAGCTGAGGCTTTGACATGGTCAGGGACTGCAGATAGATCAATCCCGTACGCACGGGAAGAAGGACATTGTCGTGCTAGCTGGGTCGTGGCTACCCCAGTTCCACAGCCTATGTCAAGGATTTTCGACTTGCTCGGGAGAAGTCTCAGGTCGAAGACAAAAGGCTTCCCACCCAGCATAGACTGAATGGCAAGGGCCTGCTCATCAAGACGAGCTTGCTCGGGAGTACTAGCATAGTAAGCTCATGTAAACCGAGAGGCCTTGGCGGAGTCTCAGTAGTACTTACTCATTGGGCAAAACGTATGGAGAAGAAGTGTCATGATACGTGCGTTCGGCGTACTGCGATGATGTTGCCATGATGGATTTTTCTAAAACTTTTGCAAGTTTTCAAGAAAAGAATGTCTGATTGAATTGTTGTTGTGTTCCGGTTAAATACTAGGTATGTTTAAACAGAAAGCAAATTACATGATAGATACTCATACCCCTTTGCAACTTATATAGATATCAGACTCCAGACTCCAGACTTTCTATCGACGGGGCCATTGAGGGGTAAATTGTGCTATCATTGCCATGTTAGTCGAAACCTTGTCCCAAAGTAGCGTTGTGCCATTTCGAAATGTTGAGCAATTACGCGGCAATCGAGGTAGATTATCCTCACTATCTGTCATGCGAGACCTACTCTGAATAGCCTCGCTTTAAGTTTGATGGATTCCGCCATTATTGTAGGCCGTGTAGTTGAGGGGTAAGTCCTTTTTCACGGATGGCTCGAACCTTATCCTGAATGCAGCGTTTTTTCAATACGAATCTGTTGAGTCATGAAGATAATCAATCTCACGATCTATTTACGATGAGAAGCCTTTGCAGCACGTGTGTGAATAGCTTCATTTTAAGTTTGAGACATGCCAGGGGGCCCGAGCAGTATAAAGATGCATTCGCTTGAATCTTGGAAAATCCATTCCAATGGATCGCCAGCGTCCGATTGTAAAGGAGAAGGATAAGCACGTAAGGTAGCGTCCTTTAGACTTCTCACGATACTGGGCAGAAAAATCAGATTTTAGACCGAAAAATCAGTCCAGTTGCATCCGACGACAAGAAGCTAAGAGCAACACAGTTCGCACCACCAACTATCGAAGGAATGTGGGTAAACTCATAATTGCGGCATCTTGTATGACTGGTGGAGTTCTCTCCGTGCACTTGGCTTGAATAGCGGCGACTGCGGTTGATCAACTTGTGAACAACATATCGTATAGAGACAAGATAAGCAATGATCCTTAACATTCCCGTAAAATATCCGACTGCATGAATCGTGTCAAGGGAAGCCCTCTTGGGTCTTCGAGGGTTTCAAAGCTTGCAGCTGGCTGGGTTTCCAGAATGAATGGCGCCGAGCCCTTAAGACCTTGAGGACAGGAAGAACGAGGTTGAGGAGCGAGAATCGCAGTCTACGTGCTATGATGTCTTCGCATCCGAGTATGTATAAGTTGGACTACTTAAAACTAGACTGACATGCTTCACTCTTGCCGTCTCCATCACTCCTTGATACATCATCTTTCACCCAGCTGAGCACCGTCCACTCATCTTCAAGCTATCTTTTGTCCAAGTCCTAGCTTGGGCTTATCCTACAATCATGT